CAACACTGTCCTTCATCAGGTGACAACAGAGCTGTCTTGGTCCAACAACTACATGTGGACCTACAACTACGTGTTTCCAACATCGTTGATCTCTGCTGAGAACAACGGTCATTTCATCTGTTTTCTCCAATCGTTGGAATACTCTGGGGCAACAGTGCTCCAACAACTGTCCACTGATGAGACAGTTCGCCTATGGGGATTGCTGTCAACACCTCAGAATTGGCGTCATCTCCAACAAATCTCCATGGGAGGCAACAAGACTATGGAGAGATTGAGGGGCAACGCCAGAGTGATCGAATGGATCACAGCCAACACCAACATGGAACAGTTCGTTGCGAAGTACAACCAGTATCGCAACAGTTCCAACCCAGAGAACAGAGAAGATGATGAGGACATGCCTCACAACATCGAGGACAGCGTGGAGGCACGGGATGGCTGAACAATTCAGCAACAAAGGGTGAAACTGCAACATCCTGGAGTCAACACTCCAAACCAACAGAGATGATGGCGACATCAACATGGAGTGCAGCTGACAACATTAGTTTCCGATGAATAGATGTACACTATCTCAATAGACAACATCTTTCTTCAACAACTGATGAATGTAAAGTGTACAGTGTCAACATTCTTAGATTCGCCATGCAGGCAACAATAGCCAACATGTCGAGGGGGCGTGTTAGAATGTAACATTGGTCCCAACATGCATACCATGTCTCACATGTGGCTTACAGGCCTTGAGCCATTGCCCAACAGTGCAAAAGGCAACAGTGCGCACAGCTCCGGCATCAACAGTTCATACAACAGTCGACTGCCATTTTACATAATATATATATATATATACATAATAAATGTATATATATATATATACATAATATATCATAATATGTATATATATACATCATATATATATGGTATGTATATATATATATAATTACTATTTTTTAAATATATATATCATAATAATAAGTATTGTTAATAATTACTATTATTATTATTATATATATATGCATATATATATATATGTGTATGCAGTTCCCAACAAGCAGCTTCATCCCAGTGCCTCACGCTGGAAACGGCCCTGGAACACCGCGTTGTGGCACAGGAAGGCGGTCTTGGTGTTCTGCCACTTGCCTGGCGTTCGAACACGGTCACCCCGTGGACAAATTCCGTGGCCGATTTCCCAGCCTTTTTGTAAAATCACCGGAGGGTATGTCCTAAAATCATCCCTCAATAACCCTCGCCAACCCTTCAAAAAATAAAGTTTCTTGCTCTTATCAAGTTAATTATCTCATAACACCCTTTTCGTTAGTTACATATAGTAATCATATAGTTATATAATATAGATAATCTTAAATACCCATCTGAATGAATCACCATCACAACGACAAACGACGAGGTCGAAAAAACGCCTGTGGTGGTCTTCTCTGCATGGATCAGCATGGGCACCAGGGCGCTGTGCCAGTCGTTGCAGACGACCATGCAGTCGCCGCCATAGATGGCACCACCCAGGGGAAGTTCCTGGCACTTTTTTTGCCCATCTTTTTGGATGTCATTTTTTATCTATATATAGAGGATGTAATATGGACACAAAATGGGATATGTATAACCAACTTGATATGATTTGGGCGTGTCCATCTATAGTGAGACACTTGTGGGAAAATCATATCAAATTTATAGGATATTTATGGTACATGTTGGAATGTATACCATTATTCTTGGATATTATCTGGATATAATGGTGTATTATTATGGAATATATTTCATCAATACTATGACTGGTTAGTGGTTGAGCCCTACCCCTCTGGAAAATGATGGACGAATCGTCAGTTGGGATTATGAAAGTCCCAATTGAATGGAAAGTCATAAAATTCCATGGTTCCAAACCACCAACCAGTTTTTATTACATATTATTTACAGATTATTCCAGTATCTAGATACTATTACAGTATACTATTTTTTTCTATATCTAGACACTATTAATCATAATAGTATTCATTCCAGATTTCCAATATATTATCAAATCATTACTACTATACCCTCTGGTAAACTAACATAGCTATTGAAAATGGCCATTTATAGTGAGTTTTCCCATTAAAAATTGTGATTTTCCATAGCTATGTTAAATTACCAGAGGGTAATTACTATGGCTGTGTGCCATGGCTTTTGGATGTTAAAATGACACGGTCATGGCACGGTCAGATGTCGGGTATCTCAGGCCATCTCAGGCCTAAGGGTTTGTGTGGTATGGTCCAGTGACAGGGGCGACAGGTGAGACAAGCTTGGGACACAACAATGACAAGCTCAACACCACATCAACTTATCAACTCATCATTGAAACAAGTAGCACCATAAAGTCTTGAAAAACATGTGAATTGATAGTGTGCGTTGTGATCAAGTTTATCTACCATTCATCAAATCATACAGAAAGAATCTGTCCGATTGAATCACATAGAATGCCATACCATGATAGTACTGATCCCTGCACACGGCTCATCTTCAAAGGTGGGGTGTGCCCAAATACTGGGGGTCGCTCTAAAGACACACCAGGACTGTTCATCAATGCAATTCATGTTTCGAACCAGGCATGGTACAACTGATCATTGAAACCGCCAAGTAGCACCTCACAAAGACTCAGACACACACACACACTGACTGCTGCGCACAACGCCCATGTAGTCACATGGGTCCCAAGGTCAAAATGCGATATATGATATATTTGGCATGGTTATAGATCCCACAATGGGAATCCTGATGGGTGTGTAAATCCCTGTTAATGGACTGACTGATGACCAGACCATCCACTTTCAGGGTTCTCCCCACACCCCTACAAGGGGGTTGCTTCCCCCTGCCTTTTACAGGGATTTCTCAACGACATGTTTTGACCCCTTCCACGACTCGCCTGAATAGCCTTCAGGGCAGCCTTGCAAAAGTAGGCGAATCGTGCCTGACATCATCTGCCACCAGCAGCAAGAACAGCAACGACCAAGAAGAAACAACTGGGGGAACAGGAACAGTAGCAATCGCAAGATCGGAAACATCGGAAACTACCAGCCTGGTTGTCAGCGAAATCCTTGCCCCACTCGGGACCGTAAAGCTTGGAACCAGTCTGGCCATACACACGCTCGAGGAAGGTGGGGTGATCCACAAAGACATAGTCCACCTTCTGCTTGTAGGTGTGGAAGAAGTGCACGGATTCCTGCTTGCCACCCATGGTCACAGAGCCCCAGTAGCCAGTGTCCCAGGCCTCCGCATACTGGTCGTAACGAGGGGAAATGACCATGCAGCGATGGCCCATAGCAGCCAATGCAATTGGCAGACCATCCATAGCCTCTCCCAGACCACCAGTCTTGGAGAAAGGTGCCACCTCACCTGTGACAAAGACCAGCTGGTACTTCTTGGTGATGGTGGTCACTGGCTTGCCATTCACCATAGACATGGCTGGGCGGCCAGCTGCCATAGCGCGGCCCATGGCAACAGCAGGGGGGCCGGCCTTTGGGACTTCTCCTGAAACAGCCCCAGCAGCGGCCTTGGCATACGCCCGAGCAGGGCCAACCGTGCTGGTGGCATAGGCAGAGGTTCCAACTTGGCTTGCTGGCACTGGCTTTCCACTCACCATGTTCAGGACAGCGGTGGGAGCAGATCCCATAGTGTCCGTGGGCAATGGTCTGCTGGGAATGGCTGACATCTTGGCCTTTGCCTTTGGCTTTGCCTGGGGCTCGGCTTTGGCACCAACACCCTTGGCAAGGGCGGAGCCAGTGCCTGCCAGACGCTGAGCTGCAGTGACTGGTTTCTTGCCTTCCTCCACCACAGCAGCCGCAGACATTGGAGGCACCGGTGCAGACTTGGCTTTGGGTGCTGCACCAGCGCTTGCCGGGCTCAGAGTGTTGACACCTTGTCCGCCCGACCCACCAGTCATGGTAGCTGCCTTGCTGGTTGGGGCAGCAGGAGCGGTTGCTCCTCCCTGAGTGGTGGCGGCAGACTTCTTCTGCTCCTCAGCCTTTGGTGCCTCATCACGAGACTTGGCTGCAGCAGACACCTCAGCTGGCTTAGCCACTGGCACGACGCTTGGTGCCTGAGCAGGGGTAGTTGCTTGAGGGGCAGACATTGTTTCAGTCTACTTCTCTGAGGCAGGCTTTCACTAGATGAAAATTTGAGAGACACTGGCAGCGGAGCGCATGCAAATCGGAACCCGAAAGTTGTCTTCCATGACACTCGCAGTTCTGACAAACGTGCTCGGGCATTTGGTTGGTTCAATGAAACAAAAGTGGACACATGACAAAACCATATCCAAAAACCATGCTCTTTTGCTGCTAGCTAAATCAGGGAGATGGAGCCTTCCAGCTTTGCTCCTGGCTCTCCATGCAACTCCTCAACCTCATTCCCAAAAACAATTTTCCAACAAATTTCTTCACACAGGCTGAGGAATTGTGGATGGAGCACCTTCCAACTGATTGAAAATTTTAACGATCAGAAAGATGATTTACACAATTTGCCCGAACAAACCCGCAAAGTTCGCCCGGGCAGGCGCGCATGATGCGCGCCCAGTGATAGTCCAGCAGGGCTGACTACCAAAAAATCTGGGAGGTTCTGAACAAAAAACGAGGGGATCAATCGATGTGTGGCCTGCACTGGGTCAAAAGAAGCTAAGAAAACAGTGGAAAACATAGTTGAGAACTCCCCTGACTCCAGTCATGCTTTAGCACCTTGTGGTCCGAGCACGCTGACAAACAATTTATGTAAACGAAATCAAAGATTATGCCCTATCCCCACCTTGCATCGCGGCTCTTTCGGAAATGGAAAACATCGAGCGACCCGATCAAAATTTGTGATGCTTGCATCAAACAGCCAGAAACATGAGAATTCATCTAAAGAAACTAACCATCAGATTCATCAAAAAGCTGAGCATGTTAGAATTCATCTAAAGACATTTCATGAGAATTCAAGGGTCGTTAACTTCCGCCGCAACGGTGACCGTTGTGCCCAAACTGTGACAAAAAGACCTAGCAGACCTGCTTGTCGGTCTCAAGTGTCACTGTGGCCGTCTTGCCTGCGCGAGACACAGCGATGTTGTTAGTGATGGTACTGGATCTTTTGATTCGCTTACAATGGATTACCATCTGGTTATTTAACATAGCCATGGAAAATGGCCCATTTATAGATGGTTTACCTATTACAAATGGTGATTTTCCATGGCTATGTTAAATAACCAGAGGGTAAATCGTAAGATTGAATCCCAAGGCCAGAAAAACAAAAACAGTATTTTTGTTGAGGTGTTTTTTTTGGGCCATGGTTCTGGCATTTGTTTAGAACGTGAGTTAGTGTAGTTCATGATTCGGACCGTCTTCGGACGACCTTGGACCTTTGGGGAGCTGAAAAAAAATCCATGGCATTCCAAACGATGCTTCTTGCTTCCTTACCATCAGGCTATATACCCTCTGGTAAACTAACATAGCTATTGAAAATTGCCATTTATAGTTGATTTACCCATTAAAAATGGTGATTTTCTACAGTTATGTAAACGTTTACCAGAGGGGGTAATGCAAATTCATAAGGACTGTGGGTCACATAATGACGTAGAACAAGACCTAGCAAAACCACTATAGAAACATGAGTTAAACTCATAGAAATCATCGCCAAATAGTGGCCTGGCTCCATTTCGACCAAAAAGAAACCACCGATGTTGGTTTTTTTTTACGTAACTCGTCCCAGGAGCAAGTGGCCCATCATGGCCCATCCCACCCGAACCAAGACATCAACCAACTAGCGTAACTACCTTCTGGAAATATCTGGAAATCAAGCATGGCCAGCATGGCAAAGGACATTTCCCCAGTTCGATGATTGTCTGTCGCAACCTCCATTTAGTTCGGGGTGATGACAAGGGTAGAGACCACATCTGGTGCAAAAACGTCCCCATTCTTTCCTAAAATCCCCCATTTTTTCAGGTTTAACCGGCTTAACCCTCCTAAAAGATCAGGGAAAAAATCACTCCCATCTTCCATCACCCATCCCGAAATTCCGCGTTCCGGCACCGTTCAAGACATCCTTCACGCCCAGCTCCGTGAAGATCTGCTCGTACTGCAGCGCCGCGTTGCTCCAGGTGAACTCGGCCGCCGCCGCCATGGCGGCCTGCTTCATCTTCACCACCTGACGAACAGCTAAGAGCTCTGAAGTGCCAAAAAAACATCGGAGATCGGTGGATTTTGCCATGATTTTGCCATAAAACCTGGTGGTAAAAAAACATGAATGATGTGAATAAATGCAGATGAACGTCTCATTGTGGCTGATAACAAAGCCTTTTCTTGACCAGGTACATTCAGAACACCCTACCCTCTGGTAATCAAACAAAACTTCAATTGAAAATCTTAGCTTTCATGGTTTTGTTAATGGGCAAGCATCTATAAATGGGGGATTTTCTATTGCCATGTTTGATTACCAGAGGGTAGATTCAGAAGCTCCTATTTCATAATGCAACCAAAATGAACTGGGCACTGCTCCAGTGAGCTATGAAAAATACATCGTCTTTCCCATCTCGTTCTGGTGGTCGGTTGATAGGTATCCCTTCTGTGGGTTATAGCAATCCCCAATTCACCAGGTAAGTACAACCCATAACCCCTAATAAAGTGAATATTCATAAGCCCACTTCATCTCCCAATTACATTCCCACATGTTTAATTCACATCTCCGGGTTTGTGATGATGGACATGTTGAATGACATGCCAAGGTCTTTCAAGAATCAAACATGTTCCATGATATATTCCAGTCCATATCCAAATGAATAAGAACTATATGGCCCTTATATATATATATATCCATGATATTTCAGACATGTTCGAAATATATCCGTATAAAAATCCAGTATATTATATATATATATTTATAAAAGATATAAACCCATATATCAGATATTTTTGTATATGGCTTTGTCTTAGAATAGGCCACTCCAATCCCCGCCTTGGCCGGTTCCTCGGTGAAGAGTTTCGTGGCTCGCTTCAGCGCTTGAGAGATGGCACTCACCGACTCCTGATCAATGGGATTGATGGGGGACTAATAGGGAAATCATCAACAAAAATGGAGATATTGATATTGAATGATATTGATATTAAATGGTTATAATTAATTGTGATTCATGGTGATTAATGATAATGGGATTTATCCTCTGGTAATTTGTTACAGTTTGATATTGAACATCATCCATTTAGTTCAACTTAGTTCGTTGAATTACCTACTTTTACATGGTGATTTTCCAGTTCGCTATGTTAGTTTACCAGAGGATAACCATGGGGAAAATGATGGAAAACGATTGTGGGAAATTGATTTGAATTATTGGCAAATTATGGAAACATCATCGAAAACATGTATTTTTGTTTACCCCAAGTTCTTTGCCAAAGTTTACAAAGTGATATGATTATATAACATATGTATATATATATATAGAGGATGTAATATGGACACAAAATGGGATATGTATAACCAACTTGATATGATTTGGCCGTGTCCATCCATAGTGAGACACTTGTGGGAAAATCATATCAAATTTGTGGGATATTTACGGCACATGTTGGGATGCATATCACTATTCTTGAATATTATCTGGATTTTTCATGGTGTATTATGGGATATATTTCATCAGTACCATGACTGGTTGGTGGTATACCTACCTCTCTGAAAAATCATGGAGTGAAAGTCAGTTGGGATGATGAAATTCCCCATATATGGAAAGTCATATAAAATTCCATGGTTCCAAACCACCAACCAGTATATAATGTCAACATGATTAAACCATTTTTTTGAAAACCATCCTTTTAGTATGAACAATTTAACCAATTACTCTTGTAATCCATTACCAAACAATTGTAAAACATTATTTGAGTTCGTCCAGAAATCGTTTACCGTCAGATTCTGCAAAGTGGGGCCCCCTAGATAGCTAAGTTGGTTTATAACTCCAATAACTATGATTTATGGTACTTATAACTATAGTTACTGGGGTTTATAAACCAACAAACATCACTGGGGGGGTACCACATTGTGGTCATGGGGAAAATCATGGGAAAATCACGGCTGGAGATGCTGATGGGTGAAATGAGCATCGCTTGAAAAAGCGTCGTTCCCATGGGTCAAATCCATGGGGGACCCGAGTTACGCTACTGGTTGCCAACCAATACTGGTTGATAGTCTAATGACTTGGATGATTTAGTGGTTAAAACCATATATAATTCATGCAAAATTACTATTTCTGGTGAACAAAATGAAACTCCATAGTAGCTTAAACCAAACAACCAAATATTCTGTAGTTACAAGGGTCATAAGTTAAAATACGGAAAAGGTAACATTTAAATGTGTCTAGCCAAAGATTATAGAGTTATCAAGCTATCACTTTAATTTATTTGTTAAAGACAGCCTCTGTTTCCAACCTTATCAACATTATTTGCTCAAAAAGGATTGCTGATTGCTGATCTTTCTGCTGCAGGTTGACACTATACCGAATACTAAATTAAGAAAATGCGAAGAATTTGAGGGAACCTAGACTGCCACCTTTCGGATTCTTATACTGCAGCCCAACAAACCACCAATTTGTGGATGAAATGATACTTACCACCTATTTATAGTATAGTGATATTAGGGCTGGTTAAGAAATTAGAGTTATCACATTAGCCAATTAACTGATAGAGACGGTCTTCTTCCATTTAACTCACCAGCTTCCATTTCAATCTATGAACATTAACCACATTCTTCACCAACCATAGAAGATATAGAAGTTTCTTGGCCCATCCCTGGCTTCGAAGTTGCTCCTCCTCAATGACTGCCTCCACGGTCATCTCCTTCTCTGTCCAGAGACCGTTGACGCCATCCTGTCGTGGCGATCTCACAACACCCCAGTAGTTATCATCTGTCGGTGTTGTTACCGTCCAAAAAAAGGGGATTGAACCGGAAATTTAGAGGGACGCCTGAAAATGTTTTTGGCTGTTTTGAGGGAAAGATTACATTGGCTTCACACCAAAAAAATGGGCGAACCGAATGCCGGTAGATGGCCCAGGGCCGTGACTTCACCAACCAGTTCGCGGCTGCTCGGTGTGTTTTTTATGATCAGAATGGAAAAATTGAGTTGAAAATCATCAACCAGTTTCACGTGTGGTTGGATCTCTGGAGTTTGAACAAAAAACTTACTGGTGCGTTTTACGCAGGGAATTTTCGGAAATGATCCCAGTCATCACTAGTAATAATCATCCCAGCAACCCCCAGCAACCCCCAGCAACCCGTCCATTCCCTACGTTTAGCACCAGTAAGAAAAGCAAAGTTGAAATCACCCCCAAGGATACAATTTTTCTTGCGTGTTTTTTTTGGATTTTCCTCTGAAACCAACTTCGGGATTGTGGTTCCAGCCCGTTGACCAACTCCGATTTTGTGGTAGCCGGGCTACTCCCCTGAAAACCAACATGTAACATGTTGAACATAAACACGACTTGGACCAAACACAGATTCTCCTATTGCCCATAGGATCCATGTATGCTATATATGGTAACATGGATCCCATCAATATACCCCAGTCATGTTAGCATATATATATATATACCATACGTGGATCCGTCATGGGTTGGAAATTGCCCTGTCATCCAATCTTCGCCACCTTCTTGGAACCACCAGTTTTGTTGCTCAGCGGGCACCAAAAACTGGGTGGTTCCACATCAAATTTCATTGCGAAGCCTCAATTAAAAAAACGACCTTGTTTTGGTTAAACATGGTTACCCTCTGGTAAACGTTTACATAACTATGGAACATCACCATTTTTAATGGGTATAAATACACTATTTCTATGGCAATGTCCAATAGCAAACTGTTAGTTTACCAGAGAGTAGACCATGGTTCAACACCAAGTTTTGGTTAAACTCACCGGGTCAACCACGATTTTTCTCGTTTCACTCGCCATTTCCCCCACTTTCCCCCCGGCCTCCACGGTGTCTTTCAAGCCACCGGTGGGCGCCACAATGGGCAGCGTTCCCAGGCGCATGGCCTCCATCTGGACCAGGCCGCAAGGCTCCCACCTTGGATTTTACCATTTGGTTATGGTTTATACAAAGTGGTGCCCCAGTTCGATAGCTATATAAGTTGATGGTTTATAACTCCAATTTCACTAGGACTTATGGTAGATATATCTCTGGTTGATGAAATTCCCAATATATAAAAATGGTGATGACTGGATCAAAAAATACCCAGTGAACGAAGAAAAAACACCATCGATCTGAAATCCATATGAATGGGATATTAATGGGATATTTATATATATATATATATTAATGGGATATGATATAGTTAATGACTAACCATGCTATAATCATGGGATTTAATGAATAATGTGGGAAAAACCATGTCATAAACCAGCCATGACTGGGAATGGTGGTTTATACCACCTATAGAGTCATGGTGATGACTGAGAAATGGTGCAAATGGCATTGTTGTAACCACCAACCAGTGATATATCAATGGTGATTACTCTATATCTACATATATCTACATATATCTACTATATGTTATATATTCTATAGATATTTTCATAGATATGAACAGTGATAACCTCTGGTAAACAAACAGTTTGCTATTGAAAATGGCCCATGTATATAGTGGATTTACCCATTAAAAATTGTTGTTTTCCAGTTCGCTATGTTAAATTACCAGAGGGTATATCAATGGTGATTAGTATATACCAGTATCTACAATATGTTATATATTCTATAGATATTTTCATATAGATAATTTAAATATATTAATGGGGAGTCATATTCTGGAGGTTAATATCATGAAGGAGAATATACTTAATGGCTTAATGGGGATTTATGTATATTATTCCATCCACATTTTACATCTATGATATATTACCCTCTGGTAAACTATCATGACTATGGAAAATCGCCATTTTTTTATGGGTAAGTTGCCACTATTTCTATGGCCATGTTCCGTAGAAAACTGTTAGTTTACCAGAGGGTAACACTGGTATGTCACTATATATCATGAAGTATTGATTACTGTATGCATATATATATACATGGATATATCAGTATATCAATGGGGACTACTATATTTGCTGAAGTTGAAGTATATGAATGCGGATTCGTATACATTGTTGGGAGTGCCAAATATGTTGTTAGTAATATGTTTGTGATATATTGGTGATATGGATTCTAAATGATCAACATTTAATATCCTTAACATATGTTATAGAATCCATAGATCTATGATGGAACAAATCCTGCACCACCAACCGGATGGTTGATAAATAATGGGATAAATCACAGCCCTCAACTGGTGCAGGATTTCGCTGGCCCATCCACAGTATGCATCTTGCACTAATATCAGTGATATATGGATATGGGATCGATAGATTCATAGTGTCATATATCATATAGTAATACTAAGATTACACATATATATATTCTAAACCATAGATAGGTTTATATATATAATTATATATATAATAGATTCGTGATATGGCTTCGGTATATGAATAAGATTTAGTCATGTTAACATATATGTGTTCTTAATCTGGGATTATTTGTTTGTTTTGAACCTTAGCCTATCCGCACTCATCAGGGATTGACATCAACTGGTTGGTGCTTGACCTACCCCTCTGAAAAATGATGGACCGAATTTCGTCACTTGGGAGGATTATTCCATTCCCAAGAAATGATGGGAAAGTCATGTCATCTATTCCATGGTTCCAAAGCACCACCAAGCAGTCAAATCATGATCTTTTTTCCACATTGTAACATTTGTAACCCACGAATACATCTTTCTTGACCTGACCATGTCCTGGGTTTAGAGACCATGTCCAGGACTTGGCGGGTCCAGCCTGGAAGGCAAGAGGGTGAAGTCGCATCCCGCCAGCAGGGCGTAACGCTCTGGGCCCATCCAGCCGGCATAGAAGAACTTCTCGGGGAACTTCTTCTCAACTGCCTGGAGGAATGTGAGGAATGTGTCATGGGTTCCATGGCTTAGATTCCGGTTGGATGATATGAGACCGAGACATTCAAAAATGTGGACCTTAGAGGCAGAGTGATTCCGGCTGTGGACATATACATATACATATACATATACATATACATATACATATACATATACATATACATATACATATACATATACATATACATATACATATACATATACACATACATACATATATATATATACGTAGCATTTCACAGCATTTCCCACATGTTCGATCTATGGGACTGGACTCATTTACCCTTGACCTATTTTCGCTGCACGCCCATCCCACCTTGGTCTGTGCCACCAGATCAGCTCGTCCAGCCCCCACGATCACCACCTGCATCTCTGTGTCCTGCCGAATGGCACCAGAACTTGGCTGCCTCGAAGACCGAAAAAAAAAACACGCTGGATCTCCCAATAAATCCCCAATGATTTCGAATTTGGATGTTTTTCCCACATGTTCCGTCAAAAATGTCAAAATCAACAGAAGATTCCCACTGATTCCGGCGGTCGAATTTCCCATTTTCCATGTCAAAACTCCACCAAAAATCCACCAAAGCTCTACAGCCAAGGCCTCCAACACCTCCACCAAGGACTCCAAGAGCAGGTCATAGCCCTTCTGCGAGTCCAGGCGCCCGATGAAGCCTCCGAAACGCCCGCGAAAACATGGGAAAAATGGAGCCTGGCTATGGAAAACATTGGAAAACTAAGGTATATTTTTTTTTAAGGTGCCAAAATAGGGACTCAAACAAACATCTACTAAATTATACGAATATTGCACCACGGTCACCACAGCGCGATTTGGGAAAATGGCCGATTTTTGGAGACCCTGCACCTTTCTCGAACTAGTTCATAAGTCCATGAGTAAATATCTACCCATTTATGGCCAAAAATTGAGTTGAACTAGACTACCCATCCCGTCAGTGTCCCTGTATCTGGTTTGAATCAGCTGAACAATGCTGAAGAATTCTCAATTCAAGGGGTAGAGACAGTACCCCCGGAAAACTAACAGAAAAGTAGTTTACCATGATCTTAAAAAATCTCGATGGTACTTGACTTTCTACCTTTTTGGGGGTTGCTATCGTTGCTATAATTCACAAATGGGTGACTTTGAACTGCAAGGCTTGATTGGAAGAGGCAACTACCATTCCAAGAGGTGTGTCCAAACACCCAAGATTAGTCAGCCATTGAAATTCCTTGTGCCCCTGTTTTTTCACCAACATTGAAGCTCCCCGAATACAATAATCATTGAAGCTCCTCACTTTGGGATTCCACATAAACATTGTTCATATGTTAGTTGCAATGTGGGGCCCCCCAGTGATGTTAGTTGGTTTATATTCGCCCCAGTAACTATAGTTATAAGTACCATAAACCATAGTTATTGGAGTTATAAACCAACTTAGCTATCTTGGGGGCCCCACTTTGTGGGTATTGCCCGCAGTTTTTCCATGGCAATTATGGAAATTCCTCATATTTCCCTCATCCCAAATGGGAATGTTCGATGGATTTCAGAAGAATTCGCGGCCCTGGGATCTCTTGAAAAAAGGATCTTCTTCATCACTACCCTCTGGTAATCTGACTTGAAAAACCACCACTTTTAGAAGCTAAATCATCTACAAACGGGCTATGTTACGCTATGTTAGCTGGTTGGTGGTGCAATAAGCATCTTGAAAAATAGTCAATGGGAAGGATGACATCCCATATATGAAATGGAAAAATATGGAAAATAAAATTCATGTTCCAAACCACCAACCAGTTTCAAGTCATGTTGTGGTCCCAATTCACCCAAGGGATTCAACGGGATTACGGAATCCAAGGCACACATCAGTGGTCCAGTGCATCCGGTGAGGCCGTTCTGCGCGCGATAGGAGGCCTTCAACTCGCTCTTGGCAATGTCGCCTTGGCGAAACACAAAGTTTTGGAGAAATGCCAAGTTCTAAATTTGACTGAACTGGGAGATCTCGATTTTTTTAGAATGTGCCAATCAATTCATAGCTGTATATAGAAGATTATAAAAGTAGATATGAAGAAACACATACGTACCATGATGTTTGTATCTGGCTGAATTATTCCAAGTCACTCAAGTCGCTTTGGGTGATTTTGGATGGCTCCATATGGCTCCCCTTTCCATGTCCATGAGGCCATGATACGCTGGAAATGGTCCCCGAATGGCCATTGGGTAGGGAAAGTGATGACTGAGACATCTCCATCCACAGATTGGGTCCAAAACATATGATATAATCACCACATGTCATGCGGAATCTGGAGATATGCCAAGAGATGTGGGGAAGTGCCAGCTCTGGTGAGGAAAAAGGCCCCGTGAGGCCTTGTCTCTTATCTTGCAAGACATTATGTCTGGCTAAAACATGTTGATCCATACGAAATATGGTGTTTGAATGTGTTTGATCTTTTTCATCGCTTGGTAGAGATTGATTGGAACTCAAGATCTGCAGATGTTCGGGACCGACTAATTCTTACATGACGCTGGTATGGACAAAAATCAGACCTCAACTGGCAACTGGCAACTGCTTCTGAAATACCAAATATTTATGCTGGTGAGTTTTTTGTACATCCCATTTTTTTCGTAAAAGATCAAGTTGTACTCAAGTACCCAGTCAGTTTTGCCCCCATATCAGCCCATGAGGGATTCAGTTCTGCTTGGTACCCAAGCATGATCCCAGAGATGCTGCTCAGCGGCAAGTGGTGGAGTTATAGGGACCGCAACTCATCATGGTTTTGGTCACAAAGTTCCTGGGCGGGCCATGGGCGTGTCGAAAATTGTGTAAACATAGGGGCAAATCTTGGAACTTTCCCCAATTCCAGTGGTTTTTTCTGATGATTTTCCCATGATTTTGGTAAGCCCAGGTAACTCATCAAATGTGGCACTTGAAAACCCATAGAAAATGATGGGATCTGAATGATCCATTCCTGGAAAAATCCTCGACCAAAATGGGGAACTCATGGGATTTTTGCCTCTTTGATTTGCCGGAATGGGAAACATGATGATTGACCATCAAATGGGTATGGGTCAAGTCATTAGGTACCCCAATAATTGGATGGTTAATACATGTTAATACTAAACTAGACTAACAAAAAAGTGGTCCCACATCGGTCTTCCATTTTGACCCACATCCAAATGCTACACTCCCTTTTTTCTCCAACAACGCAGCCACCTCCAAGCTAAGAAACTGGGGACAGCGTCGGCGAAAGCCATGTTTTTTAAAAAAATGCAAGCATCACTCAATCAAATGAACTCATGTGGCGGCACAAAATCAAATGCTATACCCCCAAAATGTTAATTCTGATAGTCTGACATGGAAAATGAAAAACCAAAGCAGTGGATTTGGAAAGTGGTTCCATTTTTTTCGAACAAGCCTCGGGTGTGGATCAGAACCCGCTCAGTGGTACTCCTCCCAAAAAATGAAACAACCCTGGAAATCAAAAGTGGCAACTGAAAATGCCTTAACTTGGGGTGGCTTTTAAAAATCACTGGTTGTTTTTGGTGGGTCATCGGTGGGTCAGTAAGATTCAGTGTCCGCTCTAGTAGCTCAGTAGCTCTGATTTGCCGAGGCGAAATCCGTCTTTTTCAGTGTTGGACCATATGCTTCCAGCAGTGGAATTGATACACAGCACATGTTCTTGGAGGGAAAAAGAACTCACAAGAATGGTACAGTAACATAGCCATGGAAAATCACCATGCTATTAATAGGTAAACCATCTATTTCTATGGGCCATCTATACCATGGCTATGTTTGTCATAACCAGAGGGTAATGGGGATAACATGGGATATCCATATCCAACTCAAAATGAACAATCTCCTCCCATGCCCATGATAAAAAAAAACATGAGACGACCCTGTTTGTCAAATCCGCAGTTCATGAGACTGATAAGGTAAACCAGGCCCAGGGAGTGTAGCAGTTCCACATTTTTATCCACATTATTTTCCAGGATATTCTTGGATATTATCTGGATATAATGGTGTATGATGGGATATATTTCATCAATACCATGACTGCTTGGTGGGTTGAACCCCTCTGAAAAATATGACTTCGTCAGCTGGGATGATGATTCTTCCCAATATATGGAAAGTCATAATCTATTCATGTTCCGAAGCACCAACCAGTTATCCACCTGATTTTCCAGTGCACTGTGGGCATTCCCATGAGTATCCACAGATTTCTTGGTTCTCCTACTGAACTGGCCACTAAGCTGCTTGTCGCTGGGAGAGACACCTTCCTTGACGCCGTTCAAAATGCCTGGCGCGTTTGAATCTGATACCCTCCAGTAACATCTGGTTGGTGGTTTCAACCCCTCTGAAAAATATTAGTCAGTTGGGATGATTCTTCCCAATATATTGAAAAATAAAAAATGTTCCAAACCACCAACCAGACATAAAAATGTTCGTTGTCTTCAGGGTCTATGTTCTTTGCAAAAAGGGTATAGTTTTTGTTGGACTCCCCAAAAGCTGCAAAACGGCATCTTTCCAGCACGTGATCGATGATTGCCTCATCGTTTTTCCAGTTGCCCAATCTCCCGGATCCAAATTCACGGACCTGTGCACTTGCCCAAGGTGAAAAGAGACTCCAACTCAACACCTCAGGTGATCTAACAGAGCCATCGAAAAATGACCATGGCCATACCCTCTGGTAAACGTTTACATAACTATGGAACATCCACCATTTTTAATGGGAAAATCAATTATAAATTACCCATCTTACCCTCTGGTGTCATCAAAAATGGCCCCATAATGAAGGTCTAGGTTGGCAAAACCATCCAGAGATGAGGAAGGGTAAATGCTGTCTGAAAACAGGGCACCCCGGAAGTGGGGGAAGCAAATTGGCAAAGGGAAAGAACACGAAAGTGCGAGTCCATAAGTTTCATGGGCTATCATCATGTTCACTATTGCTCAATGGCCAATTGGATGTAGGAACATCCGAATACTGGCTACCTGGGGATTGACATGTAATGAGAATTATTCCCGAGAAATATCAATAAATGGGAGTATCATGCCTCAATAAACCATAATAATCCCATCCTAATATCAAACAAGCCCCAGAAACTATGGTTAGTACGCGATTTACACATATTTGGGACCATCTGGGGGGTGTTGTTCATACTAGGGAGATGGGATTCAAATCAAAGTTTTCAAAACCGCTCACCTGAGAAAACTCGCCAGGTCAACTTCAGTCCTAGCTTCACGCTGGAAATGAGGACTTATTGAGCAGAGCTTTTAACTCGTTTCCAAGCGGGATAATCCTCCAAGTGATTAAGAACCACCAAAAGTTAGGATATAACATCAGTATGTACCCCCCAATTAACTTGAACAAGTAGGATTAGTGTTTCATAGGGATTGTATCCAAATTTCTCCACACTTAAGAGATTTCACATGATGCAAAGCACCCCCGCGAGAGTTTGCATCGTAAGCCCGAACACACCACATCCTCCACAAATCGAAATTAATCGGATACTACTGTAATGGGTATAATATCTGTGGTAATCTCTAGTTGGCAATATATATATATATATAGTATCATGGGATCTATAATATATAACAGTATATTACATATATACGTACATATAATAATAGATAGCCCTTCTATCCTATTATCAACAAGCTCCCTATTAAATAACATACCAAGCAATTGTAGATATCCAATCATGGTATATTACAACATTTTGGAGAATAAACCCATAGGTAAATCCCATTGTATATAATATTATGTATACATGGGGTTCACCATATATGTATATATATATTATTATTATTATTATTATTATTATCATCACATATATAATTCTATATTATATCTCGGGGTCCAGCTACTCATTTCTTGACCCTTGAAGGTATCTTCCAACCTTCACCGAGCCACCCTTCTCCGGGTCGGTGCAGCACTCCACCGCATAGGACGGCGACACGGTCAACGCCCGGTCGCAGTAGCGCAGCCCGGCGGCCATGGTGTTCACGCAGGTGATCTGAAGCTGGTTTCACTAAAGAAAAATCCATGGGAATTCCAGGATCCTAATGGGATTATAATGGGATTATAGCCAGATACCCAAAAATGAAGAGATTTATGAAGCCTAGTGGGATTTTAGTGGGTTTATAGTGGGATTATAAAGTCCTAAAATGGGTATGGTATAGGATACTACCAGATTCCGATTCCCCTCCAGGATTTTGAACTCCTCAAATGGAGCTACTGTACCATATAAAGCCATAGAAATTGCGGGTTGCCCTGAAACTTCGCCTTTACATCGGCCTTATATATGGTAGGTACCTCCAATTTTGGTGCCTGAAATGGCAAAAAAAGGGTTGACTAACCAAAAAAAAACGGAGTCTATCAACAAACAATTTGCATTTAACAATTTAACTGACAAAAATAGATCTGAATCTACCGCCACATACCAACAACTATCTAATGTTGAACCATTTGGTTGATTACAACCTATGGCTTTAATTATGGTTATAGCATGTTATGGCAATGTTATACCCATCGAACAAAATACATTTGTTGACCAATAACAATTGAGATTTGACTTGATTGAACCAGCAAGAATTGATTTTTGACTTGATTTAACCAGCAAAAAAGGGGCATGTTTAAACCATTACTCAACAACAACTATGGCGATAATATGTGATAATCACCATGATTAAGAAAACCGTTTAGAACCAATGGTTATAACTTACAATGGATTAACGTTGAGATCTTTTCCAGGTTTTTCATGATCCAGGGTTGAACCATCCTGAGCCATCACCAATAATGGCTATAAAAATTTGTGAAGTTTACCATATGTTTGCATCATTTTATCAAACCAAATGATAATGGCTTGATGATGCTATGATCTATATATCATATATATCATATATAGCATATATATCATATAGATCATATAGATCATATATATCATATAGATCATATAGATGGTAAATAAGTTGATATTACCATCAGCCATTGGGATTAATAAGATGATGCTGAGAAAATAGCCATCAAATTGATGATAGGTTTCTTGACCCAGCATCACTCTACCAGCCCACATTGGGATGTGGATCTACGCAATCAGAAATCATGGTTCTTAAGCAGCAAAAAGGGTGAAACATGTTACATGGTTATACAAACCACCAAGCTGGTGGTTAATATGTGGTTATATAATATATGGTTATTACATGGTTAATGATGTTTAATGATGGTTAATATGTGTGGTTAATATACCTGGTTAATATATGGTTAATATTAATGGTTAATATATGGTTGTTACATGGTTAATGATGGTTAATGGAGCACTTGAGTTATCAAACACCAAGCTAGGTATCGCTTGTCCAAGGAAGAATCGAATTCCACCTGGATGTGCGACTTGATGCCTTCAATACACCATCTATACAAGGTGAGGCCCCCAACGATACCTAAGTAGGTGAACAGAACAGAACTGGAATAACGTTTGAGTTTATGGTAATTATATATAAACTATGTATAGTTAGATGGGGTTATAAACCAACTTACAACTGGGTCCCACTTTGTAGCAATGAAAGGTTCACCAGTTCTAGATGACTGACTATCCTTGTGAAAATGTACATATTGTTCAGGCTGTTGGTTTCAGTTCCTTTTGCAAGCAGTACAGTCGGTGGACCAAAAAATTACAATGCACCAACCCGGCAACGTGGTAAACTACGGTGGATGGTTGCGAAATCCTGCACCACCAATTTTGGATGGTTAAACCAGTTAATTAACCCCCTATAAATAATGGGATGTTTACCATCTATCAACTGGTGATTCGGATTTCGCTGGCCCATCCACCGTAATAATCACTCAACCGAAAAAAAGAGTTGCTGGATTGATCAATGGCCATTTCAGGAACCTAAATCGGAGGTACCTACCATATATAAGGGAATATCCCCACAAAATATAGCCTTATATGGTACTAACGTACCTCCATTTTAGGATCCTGAAATTACCATTGGATTGATTGGGTTTACCACATTGAGTACATACCCCAAGGATTCTCCCCTTTCCTTGCCACTGTGGGTTTCCGTCTCGCGTACCTTCTCGTTGTACTTGCCAATGCGCAAAGGCATCCTGGATGTCTCCGGGGCTGAAAATGATTCTCTTCCAATTAGTTTCAGTCATCTATCATTTGGATCCATTATTTGGGGGAATCTATAGTCCATTGGGTCTGTTATAAATTTTATTTTGGGCCATCTTGAGCCAATCTCATTGGAAGAGAGGACAGCACATGTGAAATAATGATTCTACAATACTGGTGGCTGTGCCTTTCTAGTCTACGATCTCAAAATTCACGCATGTTCTGTATGCAATTTCTGAACATAGACCCGCGTTGGCTGTTACCGGTTTTCAAAGTTGCAGATGTCCGATGTTTCCAACAGGTGGACCTACACCTATGTAGATGTTGTTCCAACATCTCAGAACAAAACGTGCCGAACGGTATTGTTACTCATGACACTCACAACATTATAAGATTATTATACATTGTCAATAATGTTCATGTTTGTCTTGATACTAGGAAAAAAACACAATGAAATTATATCCCAGATGTATACCGTCTATAATCCAGCATATGTAGCTATAATATAGTTATAATATGTATATATATATGTATACAATAATAATATATAATACACACAGAAATATCATCATAAATAATCTTAGCCCCCATCAACAATCCACCCTTTCTGTCTTGAAGGTGATGCTGTCAATGTAACGCTCAGGGACGCCAAAGATGCCAGCCAGTCCCTCCTGAGAAAACCGAGGCGCTGACGAAAGTGGCCAAGATCTGTGAGTTCTTGAAGCTTGATCCGTGGAAAAGGATAACTGGTTGGTGGTATACCTACCCCTCTGAAAAATCAGTTGGGATGATGACATTCCCAATATATGGAAAGTCATAAAAATGTTCCAAAGCACCAACCAGATAATCATTGGATTTTTGCATGTGCTGATGACGTAACCAAGCTGGTTCATTTCGGGTTGTCTTACAGAGTGTTCCGATTTCAAAGTGGAAACAATCCCGAATTCCAATGAATTTCACACCACGAAATACTCCTGAAACGTCTTCGAACTTCCAACCATCTTGCTAGTGAGTTCCTTGATTCATGGCCAATCTTAGATCCCTTATTCATGGCTTGATTGTTTTTTACTGGCTAGTTATATATAATTTATATAATTATACTGTGCCATATATTCTCACTTGTGACATACTCCAGCGAGGTGAGTTGTCACCGAACTAGGGGACTTGGGGCGCTCCTCACGCTGGAAACGGCCCTGGAACACGGCGTTGTGGCACAGGAAGGCGGTCTTCGTGTTCCGCCACTTGCCTGCTGGGGATCAGCACCAAATGCCACCAAGATGTATAGGGCCTACCCGAAATGGTAATGACTGTTACAGTTTGCGAACTGGAAAATGGCCCATAGATATAGTTGATTTACCTAAAGATGGTGATTTTCCAGTTCGCTATCTTAGTTTACCAGAGGGTAGTATAGTTCCATTGCTTTGTCATGTGGATACATTTTTTTAGCCACAAAAGAAGCTGCTGGATGTGAACTTTCCAAGCCTCATTTGCAGACTCTGCACTTTTTCTTGGCTGGTTAGCAAGTGTATATATTCCTTTATATGGGTGTGTCTGAAAATAGTGTACCCCTAAACCCAATGGTTAATGATCATTATCCCTATTATATAAATGGCTATAATTGGGAATATACCCTATTTTCAGACAAACCCATATGAATTCCCATGTACACTCCGGTGTCATCAAATCTGGCTAGCTGGAACATCCGCTGGGAAAATCATCGAACGAATTACTAGATAGGCCATGTTCCAGCCACGTTTGATGACCGGATGGTCACCATTATATAATACTGTGGTTATAACCATGGATATATAACCCCCAAAATTCCCTTGATAGCACAATTAGCAAAATACTATAATACTATAGTTACTAGAATACACCCCAACCAGTCACATCCAGCATCCGCGCCTGTGGTAGTCTTCTCCGCATGGATCAGCATGGGCACCAGGGCGCTGTGCCAGTCATTGCAGACCACCATGCAGTCGCTGCCATAGATGGCACCACCCAGGGACAGCTCCTGGCAGAAATCTATGGAACATAAATCCGGCAGCGCAAATTCGGCACCGATGTTCTCTGAAAAAAAAAAGGAAATCGCCAAAAAAAAAGACAACTAATAAGTCAACAAGCCACAAAATCCAGTGGTTCATCAGTTTCCCTCTGAAAAAATTGCCATTATTGTTGGGGGTGCCAGCCATCGTTGTAGTCTATGGCTCCTGAATCGCCTTTAAAGCAGCTTTGCAGAAGTACGCGAAACGGGCCTGGAGCCGGAGCCGGCAAACCCAATAAGCTGCAAGACCTGAAGTTTGGATATTTTTGGCGATATTTTGTGTATATTTATTTCACTATAAATGAATGTGAATAAATATCAATAAATATGAATATATATATAATTATAAATAAATAATAATAATATGAATATATTAAATATATACAAATATATATATATGAAAAAATATAAATAAATATAAATATAAATATATATATAAATACAAATATAATAAATATGTGCCATGATCAAAACATATCAAAACATCGTTTTTCTGAGGTATGGTCATCCATCTCAGGCTGGGTTTCACCACTACTTCGAGGTGATTTGCAGTTCTGGCTTCTCAAAGCAAACCTTGTATAGCCTTGAGAGAAGCCTTGTGGTATACTGGAAAGGCACTGAAGCAAGACATCTGAAACCATGAGCCTGGTTGTCAGCGAAATCCTTGCCCCACTCGGGACCATAGAGCTTGGAGCCAGTCTGACCGTTCACACGCTCGAGGAAGGTGGGGTGATCCACAAAGACATAGTCCACCTTCTGCTTGTAGGTGTGGAAGAAGTGCACGGATTCTTGCTTGCCACCCATGGTCACAGAGCCCCAGTAGCCAGTGTCCCAGGCCTCCGCATACTGGTCGTAACGAGGGGAAATGACCATGCAGCGATGGCCCATAGCCGCCAATGCAATTGGCAGACCATCCATAGCCTCTCCCAGACCACCAGTCTTGGAGAAAGGTGCCACCTCACCTGTGACAAAGACAAGCTGGTACTTCTTGGTGATGGTGGTCACTGGCTTGCCATTCACCATAGACATGGCTGGGCGGCCAGCTGCCATAGCACGGCCCATGGCAACAGCAGGGGGGCCGGCCTTGGGGACTTCTCCTGAAACAGCCCCAGCAGCGGCCTTGGCATACGCCCGAGCAGGACCGACCGTGCTGGTGGCATAGGCAGAGGTTCCAACTTGGCTTGCTGGCACTGGCTTTCCACTCACCATGTTCAGGACGGCGGTGGGAGCAGATCCCATAGTGTCCGTGGGCAATGGTCTGCTGGGAATGGCTGACATCTTGGCCTTTGCCTTTGGCTTTGCCTGGGGCTCGGCTTTGGCACCAACACCCTTGGCAAGGGCGGAGCCAGTGCCTGCCAGACGCTCAGCTGCAGTGACTGGTTTCTTGCCTTCCTCCACCACAGCAGCCGCAGACATTGGAGGCACCGGTGCAGACTTGGCTTTGGGTGCTGCGCCAGCACTGGCCGGGCCAGTGCTTGCAGGGACGGCGCTTGCCGGGCTCAGAGTGTTGACACCCTGTCCACCGGACCCGGTCAATGTCGCTGCCTTGCTGGTTGGGGCAGCAGGCGCAGTTGCTCCTCCCTGAGTAGTGGCAGCCGTCTTCTTCTGCTCCTCAGCCTTCGGTGCCTCATCACGAGACTTTGCTGCGGCAGACACTTCAGCTGGCTTTGCCACTGGCACGACACTTGGTGCCTGAGCAGGGGTGGTTGCAGGAGGGGCAGACATCGCTTCAGTGGAAGTTTGGTAGGTTTGGGCTAGATTTGAGACACTCACAGCGGCATCAGAAGCGCACAAAAGCACTGCATGATGGCGTGGCAAACAAGACCATTTTTCAAGCATCGATGTCGCACATGTCCACAGGACATTATTTTTCCGAAATAAGATCAAGAATTGTCCCATCAAAATCAGAACAATTAATAATGAACCTTTTGTAAAACTGTTCTTGCAGCTGCAGTTCCAGTTCTAAGTGGTTTCTGACCATAGCTGGATATGTTCCATCCCGTATGGGGGTGAAATCAGCCTATAGGAATACTTAAGTGCTGATGACCCAGCGCACGGCGACGGCTCATTTTTTCCCCATCGAAAATTGCGTGGCACGAAGCCGCAGAAGCGAAGCGGAAGTGCAGAGGCAAGGGCGGGGCGGTGGTATTCCGCTGGGCAGGTGGCAACACTGCAAAGACAAGTAAGTAAGTAGGCTTTGTGGTATATATTATACATGTCTATGCTGGCGGTATCGGGGATGGGGTGGGGTGGGGTGGGGTGAGGGGGGGCGCAATAACGTTCAGGTGAATGATCAACCAAATATGTTTAGTAGTTTGGGTACCGGCGTTCCATTGGAAAGAGGCTTCTGGAAGTAAGTGTTTTCACGTCTACAAACCGTAAGCGTTAAAGCGTTTCCATTGGGTTTCATAGTCTGGGTCCTGCTTTTTCTGACTTAGCCGTGACCACGGCGTTCTATGCAGGAACACATATTTTAGCACCATCGGTCCTGCCTTCAACGTTCACCTGTACGAATGCGTTGAAGAAGGTGTTGAAATATATGTGTGTGTGTATATATATGGAACATGTCACGTCATGGGATTTGGGTTGAGATAGAAAGATGTTACATGCAATGTTACGTCATGGAATTTGTGTTGACAAACACACATAAAACATGTAACATCATGGGATTTGGGTTGAGATAGGGTGGTTCACACTGGCGGTGTCGACAGGTTTTGGACTATACTGAAGCAAGGAATACCTGATAGTCTGGCCAGCTTGCAAAATGGCAAGCCTAACCGCCTCGGTCATATGTCGTAAGTACCCATTGGAGATGGGAAATGAATTCGGATGACCTTTTGGCCAAAACTGGCAAAGCTTTGAAGAACCTCTGACCAAACCGCGTACCCAAAAAGATGAAAATGAAAGGGCATCATTTTGCAACACAAAACCACAGAAAGGTTGAAATTTTCAGTTCTGAAGGGCTCATTTTGGGACCTCATTTTGAAGCATGAAAACAAAATGGCGCTGTGACGCCGTGATGTTTTTTCTATTTTGTGGACCGGTACTCGGTCCGCCGGGATGTTTACATCTAGAGTGCATATGAATGAATAGTAGTTACAAACCAACTTGTAGCTGGTGCTTTCACGAGTCATTTCTATGGTCTGTATTGATTTATGAGGGAACTCTTTGCAAAAGCAGTCAATCACCTCCAGCCTAGAAACTGATTTGGCTCCGGCAAACCCTTTCAGTTTGCCCGGGCGCCCATGCCATGCTGTGCCATGCTGTGCCATGCTGTGCCCTGAGCCCAATGATGGGCTGCTGGCGAAAAAATCTGGGGCTTTCTCGACAATTTGAACAAGGCATCAGCATAGATCTGGGTGCTGATGAATTCAAGCAACTTTCATGACCTTGAGAAGTGATTGGTTCTGGAAATTCGTCGAAATTCTAGGAATCCTAGAGAATCGACAAAACCCAACTTAAACTATCTTAAACTTACACCAATAGCACGCTTTCGACCCGAAGAAACTACCATCCATATCCATCATGGGGGTGAAAAAGTATCCGCTTGCCTTCGCAGCTGTAAGAAACTCCCAATCATACACTCGAGAAGTTGGTGCCTTTGTGCACCCTTCAATCTGCGATCGCAGTTTGACTCCACCACCAAATAAGGAGATCATCCACCATGGGGGCCATGGGGCTGGTACATATACCCATCCACCCCAGAACAGGATGGTATAGTAGTATAGGATCCCATGTTGGTATAGTGATCGAGCTATAAGTTTCGGGGTTGGTCATGGTTTATCCCAAAATTGCTTGCTGGGAAAAAGTGAAACCGGAAAGCATGTAAATCCATGTAAATCCCATGTTTTCTTTCTGGGAAAAGCAGGGTGTCCACAATCGCCCCACATAACTTGATAGCTTTGCTATGGCGTACATGCTTATCATATGTTGTCATAATCATTCATAATCCCTAATGAGGTAGTAGAACTCCCAAGAAATTAACCAATCATAACCTATCAACCCAGGTATTTTTACGGATCTACTGGGCTCTCCAGTTTTTTCATCACAAACCGGGGAAAAAAACGGCAACCAGGGCTACGGCTAGCAGTTACCAAGTCGAACTCTCACGCAACGAGGTAGGAAGCTGAGTGGATTCCCGACTTGCGAGTTCGCGCAGAATGGAAAACAATCGAGGCTGCATCGAGCGTGTCATCTCAATTCCATAGCTGCAATGGTTTGTTTGAATGGAAAACACGGGCATTTTGTCACCCCAGCCGGCACAGTAGCAGTAAAAAACTGGACTTTGCAGTTTGGTAATCAATGAGCCAACAGCTACAATCCAGTTTTTTCCAGGGCCATGGAACCATGGAACCCAAGTTTCATCCGGAATCTGCAAAAAGAAACATCTACTGACTGTTCTCAGACACCCGGCTGGAGCAAACCCAACAAACCGCAGCAACCATCGCCACTGGCCGCACCTAGCAGACCTGTTTGTCTGTCTCCAGCGTCACAGTGGCAGTCTTGCCTGGCCGGGAACAGAATGGACTCCACGGGTGCAGCCCATGCTGGGAAAGAAACTCAGCCTAGCTTTCGGCGGACAAATCACGAAAACAAGTTTTCATGATGTTCGATACCAAAAACAAAAAACGCGCGAACTTCACCAAAATGGCTGAACAAAGGGCTTTCCTATCCAACCTACATGCCATAAATTTTAGGTCTCAAAACCTCACCTTTCCAGGTCGTTTTTCAGATGTCCATCCATGTCCATCCCATCTGCCGTCCATTGATAGAACCACCTCACTAACCAACTGAATAGAGTAATACGGGTAAAATAGATTAGTATATGGGGGGTTTCCATCAATGGGGGTACCCCTTAAAATAGATGGTTTATAGTAGTTTATAGTGGAAAATCCATCTATAAATGGATGATTTGGGGGTAGCCCTATTTTAGGAAACCATAAATGATTCAATTAGTAGATATGAATAACAAATGTATTCACAACTTTCCAAAATCAACTCAAAACACACTGTGGATGGAAGAAAACGTGCACCAGTTTGTAGATGGTTTATCCAGCAGTGGTGATCCAATAATCTACAGTGTTTCATAGTTGCCTTTCATAGTTTCCAACTGGGTGCAGGATTTCTTATTAACCATCCATAGTATCATGATTGTCTATCTATATATCGTTGGTATCTATAATCGATATCTATCTATTAAATCTATATAGTCTATGAGTATATGATAGTAAGACTCTATATATACATATACATGTCTATAGTATATTATACGCGTCTGTTTTTTTTCTTGTAGTAGAATATCCTTTGTCGATCCATATGTCGACATTTTATCCTTTCTTTTCTAGTCTCATTATTCCAATAGCTACTATACGGTCTATAGATATCTTGGCCATCACCCATCCCCATGCCGCCACGGCACCGTTCAAGACGTCCTTCACGCCCAGCTCTGTGAAGATCTGCTCGTACTGCAGCGCCGCGTTGCTCCAGGTGAACTCGGCAGCTGCCGCCATGGCGGCCTGCTTCATCTTCACCACCTGTTCGTCACAGCTAACTGCAGACTTCTTTTTTTTATCACCTACAATAACTTAGAGTATCTGATATATAACATATGTATCATATATATATATATATATGTACCTGTATATCATACATAAAAAAAAGATGTACGCATATATGATATGTGTATAATACCGACTCTTGGCATCTTCAGCATTCTACGGGCTCTTGGCATCGAAACGTCCGGGACCTTGGCCGGTTCCTGGGTGAAGAGTTTGGCGGCTCGCTTCAGGGCCTCCGAGATGGCGCTCACGGACTCCTGGAAGCGCGGCGTTTTCAGCGCGCGCGTTTTGCCAGCGAAGTAAGAAAACCATAGCCACATAGCTATGGAAAATCACCATTTTTAATGGGAAAATCAACTATTAATGGCCATTTTTAATAGCTATGTTAAATTACCAGAGGGTATAACAACCAAAACTAGGAATCTGTTCGCAACACAACTGAGGTTTTAACGATCAAACAACAGTTGGGTTTTTTCGAGCATGGCAGAGTTCAGCCGGGAGAAGCATCGTTCGCTCGTCCTCCTCAATGACGGCCTCCACGGTCATCTCCTTCTCTGTCCAGAGACCGTTGACGCCGTCCTGGACTTCAGATCTCACATTGACATCCCAGTGGCTATCATTCAGGTGGTGTTTACCGGGTTTACCGTTAAAAAAAAGGGATTTCACTATTGAACATGGCCATTTTTTTTCGTTGTGCTGAGCACTTCCTTGACATTTAGGGCTGCCGAAACGCTGCCGTATTTAAGGGATGGAACAGTCGGAAACCAGCCATGTTTTGGGGATGTTATGGAAACATCATCATCATCACACCATTTTTTATATGGTGGGGATATGATAGGAACAACCCCATGTTCAATAGTGGTTTCAAACCAACCGTGGTACGGGATATATTTTGAAACAAAATCTACAACCAACAATACGATAGATGGACATGTCATGGCATGTCCCAGTTTATGGCAGGTTTCTGTTGGGGAAATGCGGGTAGAAGCCATCAATTTTTTTTTAGCACAGCCCCATTTTTAGCGATGAACCAATGCTAGAGAACAAATCTGGGAAAATTATAATATTTCACTAACCTGAATTAAAGCCATTTGGGGATGATTCCCCTTACTAACTATGATTATAGTGAGGTCGCAGTGAGGTCGTTATAATTTACCCAGACAAATCATGATGTTTGAAGCTAATAACCAGATGAGAGTCGATAAACGGGGGTTGGTAAATGTCCTAATTTTTCACATCACCCAAATATTGGGGGTATAATCTTCAAGAGATATTTGAAAGTGATGTGAAACAAATCCCTAAGCCATAGGACATTTACCAAGCCCTGATAAAGAATAAGGAAGGAACAAGGAAAGGAAGGGACTCCCAATTAATCTGTTGGTCATGGTTTTTCCAAATGGCAGGTTGATACTGAGACCATCCAAAACCTTCTTCAGCTTCTTCAGCCTTGCCCGGATTGCACATTCTGACCCTAAACCACCACTTGAAGCACTTCATCTCCTTCCAAAAAAACATTACATAACCATGTTAAACCACCATCTTAACCATTGTTGAAAGTGGTAAGATGTTGAAATCCACATCTTAACCATGTTAAACCATGTTAAAGTGCTACATTTTCCCATATTTTCCCCTATTTTCCATCCATCAACCGATGCTTTGGAGCTCCATTTCCCCCACCTGGGATCCCGGCCTCCACGGTGTCTTTCAAGCCACCGGTGGGCGCCACAATGGGCAGCGTTCCCAGGCGCATGGCCTCCATCTGCACCAGGCCGCAAGGCTCCCACCTGAGCCGTTTTTTTCTGAGTTTTTTGGGAGATGCAAATGGTGGAGATTTTTGATGATATAATGATATAAATAGACATATATATATATACACATTGTATATAGATATTTTTATATCTGTAAACATGTGGGATAATATATGATTATATATACATATGTCTATATATATATATGATTCTCTGTATGACATGTATATACATATATATATAATCTATATATGTTTCTATATGCGATCTATTTGAGATTTATATCTATATCTAAATACTATATATATACATACATACGTATATGTATATATATATATTATATATATATTTATATAGTCATCCTGGGGCAGATAGAATGTAGTGGTTTACATCTAAATAATGGTCATGATATATCTATAGTATCTATACTTTGTATCTAGAATCTACATCTATCTATCCCTTTTGTAAATAATATAGCTGTTTCTCAAAACTGGGTACCACAAAACCATTGGTTTGCCCATTAAAGATGACAATGTTACTAGGACGATTTTGGGGTGCCCCCAAGTTGGAGACACACCCATATATTGTAGTCTATAGTTGGTATCATGATATATCTATAATTTTCCGTATTATATATATATATGATAGTATGAATGTATTATAGATCTACATAGCAGTCAACAAAGGTGGATGGGGTTGTCATACACAACTGCTAAATGAATATGATCATCTTTTGATGTTTCATGTGGAGCCAACTCCACCTGGAAGGCAACAGGGTGAAGTCGCATCCCGCCAGCAGGGCGTAACGCTCAGGACCCATCCAACCGGCATAGAAGAACTTCTCGGGGAACTTCTTCTCAACTGCCTGGAGGTGCCATGGGTACAGTAGGGGAACCTCCATAGCTTCGGATATGAGGCCCCTATATCTATGGATATTCTATGGTTTATGGTGGATCAATATGGCTGAATTCTGTGGTTTATGGTGGATATAACATGATATAACTATAATATCTGCTTAACTATGGCTGAGGATGATTATGAATTATTATGGACATACAACTATTATGAATTATTATGGATTATGGTTTATGATGAATTATATCATTATCTGGTTGGTGGTGCAATAACCATCTTGAAAAATGATGGAGCTTCGTCAATGGGTTTCGGATGACATCCCATATATGACATGGAAAATAATCCAAATGTTTTAAACCACCAACCAGATGGTATACATTGGTATGGGTATGGGTCAAAATTAGGTACCCCAATAATTGGATGGTTAATACTAAACTAGACTAAGAAAAAAGTGGTCCCCTAGGTCTTCCATTTTGACCCACATCCATATGGTAATGTATCTTGCGTATGGCTGGGACTTCACCCCCAAGTACCGTTGTTTGGGGATCTGAAGTTCACTGTCCGGTGACCTCCAAAAAGTTGTTACGTCAACGACTGTGTCTGCGAAGCTGCGAAGCGCTTCGGGTACCATGTTCCATGAAACGACATAGTGATAGTTGTATAATGGTGATTAATGGTGATTAACGGTGATTAATGGTGATTAATGATAGTTAATGGGATTCACCCTCTGGTAATTTGTTACAGTTTGCTATTGAAAATGACCATTTAGAAATAGTTGATTTACCCATTTATAGAATGGTGATTTTCCAGAGTTATGTAAACGTTTACCAGAGGGTAATTGCCAGATTAGATTACCCCCTAAACCAATTGAGCAATGTCCGCATTGGACAATCTCCAAAAGCAATGGTTGGTTGGGGTTCACAGCTCGAGCATGAGAATCACCCATATATTGGGTCGTGTATAACTCCTCTATAATCATAAACCAATCGCCGTTGCTTGTCAAATATATTCTTGTATTTTGATAGTTCAAACATGTTCAAACTATAAATGATTGTTAAACCATCAAAGATGTTTGTGAAATAACCATAAATATTTCTTACCCTCTGGTAATTTAAACATAGCTATGGAAAATCACCATTTTTAATAGGTAAATCAACGAACTAAATGATATAAATGGTCATTTTTCAATAGCAAACTGTAACAAATTAACCATTTCGGGTATAGATCACCATGTTCCCACTTATTTTCCCAGTCTATCCCATTATACCACTAGTTTTGATTCAAATCACCATAAAAATGTCCCTTCGTCAAGCAGGGGAGACCACACCTTCGTCTGTGCCACCAAATCTGCGCGGCCAGCGCCAACGATCACCACTTGCATCTCTGTGTCCTGGGGAATGCTTCCACTTGAAAAATATGGAGGTTTCTGTTTCGTCATGGGGGTAGCCCTAGTCATCCATGTATAGATGGGTTTTCCATGATTTTCCACTATAGACCAAGCATTTTGGGGAACCCCCATTTATGGAAAGCCTCATATGACTGTTTAAAATGCCACAATTTCGTGATGATATGTGACTTTCTAATCTGTTCAGAGCTTGGCAATTCAATGGGATATACCCTCTGGTAAACGTTTACATAACTATGGAACATCACCATGCTATCCATGGGTAAATCAACTATAAATCACCAGTTTCAATAGCAAACTGTTGGTTTGCCAGAGGGTAGTGGGGATACCCTCTGGTACTCAAACATGGCTGGAAAATCCCGGAAAAAAATGGATGTGTCTAGGAAAATCAGCTATAAATGCTTGATTTTCCAGCCATGTTTGATTACCGGATGGCATGTGATTGGTTCAAAACGCTACAAATAGATAATATGTGAGTCTTAAAACTCACATATACAGCGTATGTTCATAAATTGTCGAGTTCTGGGTTTCTCGGAAACTTGGGTAACCCATTTCATCCAGTTAATCGAATAATGATCCATTAAAACATCGATTACTTTGGCGATATCGCCATTTTCAGACACATCGGTTGTTGCAGTTCCACTCATGGCTGTGCTTTGATACCCATAATAGCGGCCCCATATGCCAACTTATGAATCTTAAAATCCCATGGTTCTACTGCTTCTACGCTTCGATTTTTTATCCCTTTTCAATGGGTTAGTAGAACCCCAATCATTTCACATTTTTTTTACCCCCAGCAATGTTAGTAGAACTGGTGAGTCGAATTTTTTTTGATCCCTTTTCAATGGGTACCCAGTTGAGCATTTCACCATAAACCAATGGCTTTTCTGGTTGGTGGTATACTTACCCCTCTGAAAAATGAATGACGAATCGTCAGTTGGGATGATGAAATGCCCAATATATATATATATATTAATCATCATTAACCATATATATATATTAACCATAATAACCATATATTATATATATATGGAAAGTCATAATCCATTCATGTATTAATAATTCACCAGCATTAACCAGAAAAAAAAAACCTATATCCCCATATTAGATATAGTATATTCCCAATATGATGAGAAAGTCATAATCCATTCATGTTCCATTATTGATTATTATATCCCATTATATCCCATTATATCCCATTATATACCATAAAAAACACCATTATATTCCATTAAAAGCCATGTTCCAGTCACCACCAACCAGCATAATATCACTGCTCAACTGCTCAACTGCCGTCCTCCAGGACCTCGACCAAGGACTCCAACAGCAGGTCGTAGCCCTTCTGCGAGTCCAGGCGTCCGATGAAGCCTCCAATATTGGCGGCAGACTGGTCAGATTTAGGGCTAGTTTATGGCTATTGAATAGCTAAATAGCTATCTATATACATATATATATATGATTATACATATATATATATATATACAATTATACAATCTTAGAAGCAATGATCAAATATCGCCGAAGGTTCTTTTCAAGATTGGTGGTACAAACAATCAAAATTTGGTTTATTCTTGCTTTACTAACATTAATGCCAAAAATGTGGCTTTCTGTCCCTGTCTATTCTCGGGGTCGTTGGGAAGACCAAAGGAACACACGATACATGGCTTTCCAATTCTTATGTGCTTGGCTACTGGCAACAAGTTGACATCAACTGGTAAATGCAGTCCATTTCTTTTTTTTGGGAATCAAAAAAGGACAGCATCATTATTGCTGAGTTATACTCTGATTATTCAACATTGCTATGGAAATTTGCCACTCATAGACTCATAGATGCTTTATGATGATATACCTATCAAGAATGATGATTGTCCATAGCTAGGTTAAATAACCAGAGGGTAAACTGGCTTATAGTCTTATAGTCCCAGTATGTCCTCATTATGTCCCATCATTGGTGGTAGAATCCAATTAAAAAACACACCTATATATATATATTTCCTACAATGTGGGGCCCGCAGTCGATAGCGTTCAGTTGCCTTCTTTCAGTGGCTGAATTCTATGGTTTATGGTAGTTATAACTATATATAATATTTATGGGGTTTATATACCAACTTGTAACTGGGGGGGGGCACATGGTATTCTCCAACCTGACACAAAAGTCCCAAATGGGGATGCGTCGCTGATCCTCTGGGTCTCCACATCCACTGGGATATGTTTAATATCAACAATATGGAGAAGGATGGTTTACTGACAATGATGGGATGTTGATAAGTGGAAATATATGGTTGATTTTTTTTAGATCTTAAACATCTTGTTCATAATTTTATGGGATGTCAATCATTGATGCAGAAGGAATTGAGAAGGATGGGGCAAAATTTATGGGATATCAATGATTCTTGGATGTTACAGGGGTTGGTAACTGTCCCATTTTGGGAATATTGGACATCACCTTATAGTAGCCATTATAGACCATATAACTAATGGTTGGGTGATGTTCAATTGGGACATTTAATGACCCATGTGTTACTTGCCCGTAATTTAAGGTGCGGATTCCCCAACGGTAACCCAACGGCGCGATTCTCGGTGTTCACAACGGCTATTTCGCCGTGGAATCAGTGGATCCCCCGGATGTGTGTTTTTGGGTGACACAAAAACCATGGCTCCCATGGGTTTATGCTTAAATATCACAAAAACACATGTCAATGGGGGATGTTAATGGTAAATGTTTATGTCTTAAATATCACAATGGGTTTATGCTTAAATATGTCAATGTCTTTGCTGGGTTCACAAAAACAATTCTTCCAAGTTCCCATTCTTCGAAGTGAAATCCACTGGGGGATGGGGAAATACGCCGCCCAGCACGATTCGAATCCAAGCCACACATCAATGGTCCAGTGCATCCGCTGAGGCCGTTCTGTGCGCGATAGGAGGCCTTCAACTCGCTCTTGGCGATGTCGCCTTGGGTACCGGTTGCGGTTGGGGGTCGCAGTGTCACAGTGTCACCATGGAGATTGCCTCATTGTAAGGGACCCAGACGTGAACACATCCAATCCGGCATCAAGGTTTCTTGGTGGGGGTATATATTATTTGTGATAGGGGGTATGGGATTGTAGAAAAATGTGAGCAACTAATATGCTAACATCAATTTCAAGCGTTCTCACCCAACAGTCAGCTGGTGTCATAATTCCAGACCTCTTCAGTATTTTCTGGGTTTCTCTGCTCGAGAATCCTTGCTGTTATCCCATTACACTTGTTGGTTAAGAACGGGGGTTCCATAGTGGCTTATATCTGTGACAATCTTAAATATCTTGGGCGGTTTTTCCCATCTATCATTTCAACCTCCGATTACCAAACTGTACAGAAACCCTGGTTCATTGTGGGTTCCCAAACCGGGATCATTTGCTGCGATTACATGGTACCCCCCAATGACCAACCGCCCGTTCTTACGCATTCATCGCTAAGGTCACAAGTGGTAGAGTTGTAAGGACCGCAGCTCATCATGGTCTTGGTCACGAAGTTCCTTGGCTTCGTTTTTGAACATGTTTACACCATAAAACAACATTCATAGGAAATATACAAAGTGGTGCCCCATAGATAGCTAAGTTGGTTTATAACTCCAATAACTGGGACTTATGGTAGATATATCTCTGGTTGATGGGGTTATAAACCAACTTATAACTGGGGGGGTACCACATTGTAGGAAATATGATGATCAAAATCGAATCCAATGGTTGCATTTGTATTACCTGTATTGGCCTCTGGTTATTTAACACAGCTATGATGGGCCATTTATGGACGATTTATATTGTTTTAACATGTTTTAACTATGAAAAATGGTGGTTTTCCATAGCGGTCTTGAAGAAAACCCTCCCTGCTTGGTGTTTTTTTCCACCCACGTTTGGCTGGTTTTCCTCAAGTCGGAGGATTCGGAGGATGCAAAAATGAAGTCGCTGGAGACCAGATACAAATTACCCTCTGGTAAACTAACATAACTATGGAAAAATCCATTATAAATGGAGGTTTGATTGGGAAAATCATCTGTAAATGGTCCATTTTCCATAGCTACGTTAAATTACCAGAGGGTACTCTCCAAGAAGACATGGCAATGTGAAATTCCCGCAATTTTTATGGGAATTTGAATGGGACAATCATCGATGGAGAACTTCCAGCAAGCCATGTTTGATGACACCGGAGGGTATGCTGACAGGAAATCGATGTTCATAGAGATCTAATCCATATTAATCTCATCCCCCCCAAAAAAAAACTGATTATCAACACCCCCAAAATCTATCCCTTTCGGCCCTTAGTCTATGGTCCAAAAATGTCCCCCTTAAATCGGTGAAAAATCCCCTACAATGTGGCCACCCCCCCAGTGATGTGAACGTTGGTTTAGATTCGCCCCAGTAACTATAGTTATAAGTACCATATAAACCATAGTGAAATTGGAGTTATAAACCAACTTAGCTATCGAACGGGGCCCCACTTTGTACTGATTCATGATTTCTCCGGGGACAAGTGGACATCAAGCGGCTTATCACTCGGCGACACACCTTCCTTGACGCCGTTCAAGATGCCTGGCGCGGAAAACTGCAGCTGAAAACTGCTCGGAATGTGTTGAGGCGAACATCATCCCAGTCTTAGGTCTTCATCAAGAGCAAACGTCAGGATTTAATCAAGGAACAATATGAACTTTACGATTGTGACTTATGATTTATGATTCTTGGTCACTCAAAAAATGGATGTATTTACATATATATATATATGGATTTATGATATAAGTCAGGTGGATCTAGCCTAGTTTGATGAGGAAAACTCTAAACCGTCTCCAAGGCGATGGGATTAGTCTCCGATGAACCCAGGGATTTTTTTGGGAAAATGGCCCAGTTATAGATGATTTACATTGATTTGGGTATGGACCAATACCTATCGATACCATTTTTAGTGGGATGAACATCCATTTTAACCCAGCTATGACTTGGGGTGAACAAAAGGTACCAGGGTTTTGACCCATCCCCATTTACATAGATTTACCTATTAAAAATTCTGTTTTGTTACCCTCGAACACAACAACTACATGCTACAGTTCTTAATCCAGGTCCGCCTTTGGGCCAGTCATTTGCTTCAAAAGTTATGGTTTTTTGGCCGTAAAACTGAAGTTGGCTCGTCCTGGTGGGCACGCTGTGCCTGTGCACTTGCCCAAGGTAAACAGGGACTCCAACTCCACGCCTCAGGTGATCTAACAGAGCCACCGAAAAATGACCATGGCCATACCCTCTGGTAAACGTTTACATCACTATGGAACATCCACCATTTTTAATGGGAAATCAATTATAAATTGCCATGTTCAATAGCAAACTGTTAAATTACCAGAGGGTAATAGGTAAATCAACGAACCAAATGGGACGTTTTTGTTGCGTAGAGATCAACAGCAGAGTGAACGATGTGTTTCATCGAGTCCACAGAGCAGAACATATTCCTGTCACGGCGTTGCCATTGCATCAGAAACATCCGTTGTCTTCAACGACCATAACTTCTACATGCTTTGGACTTATCGGGTAAGATGTATGGGTTTCTTTGAAAATAGAATATATATATATATATATCATATATATATATCCCAAATCCAGTAGTTTATCATCATTTTCCTCATCGTAAGATCATTTTATGGGATATTTTGAAGGTATACGTATTCTCCAGCCCGGAATCTGGAAAACAAAGCCTTTTTGGTTGTACTTTTTCCATGCCCACCCAGCATCCACCTCTGGCATATCCCCAAGATATATCCCTATTATATCTATATCCCCATACTGTAATCATGAGTTTAACCGAGCTTTTTTTGGTGGTAAAACCCCGAAAAACATATCCCAAAAATCCCAACAAAAACCCCAATAAATAGTGTATAATTATACACCTTACATCATATAGGTCAAAAACACCCCAAATCAGCTCAAATCCAGTAGTTTATCATACTTTATCATAGTTTGTCATCATCTTCCTAAAAAGAACTATGATAGTATAATACTTTATCATATACTTTATTATACTATACTACAAAAACTATGATAAACTTTATCATCTTCCAACAAAAACTATCCTGGTTGGCATTCTTTAGCCATTTTTGGAACTTCCGCTCCTGGTCTTCAACCAAGCCACCCTTCTCCGGATCCGTGCAGCACTCCACCGCATAGGACGGCGACACGGTCAAGGCCCGGTCGCAGTAGCGCAAGCCGGCCGCCATGGTGTTCACGCAGGTGATCTGAAGCTGGCGTTGATCAACAAAAAATGGGAGTTAGTTTGATTTCACAAACAAATGTATATCTATGTATATTATAATATATATATATAATATTACATCATCACTAACCAAATAACTCTGGTGACAATTATCATTGCGAACCAAACAAACAGATGTGACAGTTAAAAATAGGGGTGTTCAGCAACGAAAATTTGGATGTTGCCAGCCAAGAACGGGAAGATTGACCGATGACAAATGGATACTTCGGTATATCAACCATTATTGAGCAACGAAATTACGACATTAGCCACTACACATATGGGGATGTCAAGCAACAAAATGGTGATTTCTGCCAACGGAAATGGTGAGGTATATCATTGAAACCGATGAGTTTATTGACCTAGATTGAAGTTACTGAACGTAAAATAAATCTGGGTAAATTATAATATTTCACTAACCTGAATTAAGGCCATATTGGGATGATTTCCCTTACTAACCATCATTCCCAGTGAGGGAGAACAGTGAGGTCGTGATCAAATTTACCCAGATAAATGGATGAACCATGATGAACCATGATGAACCATGATGAACCTGGGAGTTTTCAACTAACCAAAAGCTATGAGACATATGCCATGATCATCCATGATCTGGGCAAGGTGGGACACAGGAGCGCCAGAGGCACTTTCATGATTGGGATCCTAATTTGACTTCTTGAACTTTCCCTCCTTTAGGTCAGTTTTTTGAGTCTACCGCGATGAAAAACAACGATGCTTGAGATAGATTTCTTCGCTTTACGGTGATCTACCAATGATATGCTCAATTTGCGAAAAAACCTCCGGCCATTTCCACACAATGTGGTACCCCCCCCAGTTATAAGTTGGTTTATAACCCCATCAACCAGAGATATATCTAGCATAAGTCCTAGTTATTGGAGTTATAAACCAACTTAGCTATCTATGGGGCACCACTTTGCATGAAACAATCCGACGGGCTCTCAGGATGCCTTCTCATTGTACTTGCCGATGCGCAGAGGCATCCTGGGCTGCTACGGTCGACCCCATTCTTGACTTGCTTAGCTCCCATTCATATCCCAGCCACAGTAACTGGAATTCCTGATTCGTGGTGGATATATATATATACATATATATATACATTGTATATATATATATATATATATATTATGCATTGTATCTATCTATCTATCTATCTATCTATCGATCGATCGATCGATCGATCTATCTATAGGAATATATATATATGATTATATATATATATGATAATATATATATATTATAGAGTAGAGAGACAGATTCGAGTTATGCATTTGGGTAAAACTTAAGTGCCTCCCTTCGCTCAAACTTCGCCCAAGTGTCTTGAAGGTGATGCTGTCAATGTACCGCTCCGGCACGCCGAAGATGCCAGCCAGACCTTCCTGGCCCATTGAACAATGGCCGGGGCTCCAACAAGTCATGGGGATACACCACCTGTGTATATATATATTAACATATATATATATATATCTCAGTGAAAAGGCATATTCTAAAATCTATCGATATACAATGATATGTATATAATTATGTATATAATTATGATATAACCAGCAGATAAGTAGTATAGAATGGTATATGTATCATCAATAATGTTGGTTTCATAGAATGAGGAAACTCCAAGTTATCATCCAAGGTGAACCGGTCATTAACGTAATTTGGAAAACCAACGATGATAGGGGTATGCCAACTACAATGTGGGGCCCCCCAGTGATGTGAACGTTGGTTTATAAACCCCAGTAAATATAGTTATTTGCGTACCATAAACCATAGTTATTGGAGTTATAAACCAACTTAGCTATCTAGGGGGCCCCACTTTGTAGTTGGTGGTATACCCACCCCTCTGAAAAATGATGGAGTTCGTCAGTTGGGATGATGAAATTCCCAATATATGGCAAGTCATAATCCATTCATGTTCCAAACTTACATACCATGCAATCTGGTTGGTGGTTTCAACATGTTTCAACCCCATTTTTCCATTTTTCCATTGGTGGTTTCAACCCCAAACCACCAATCAGCCAATTTTGGGAAAGACACCAGTTCTGGATCTCTAAATGAAAACGAGCTACCGTTCACTTCACCGACGTTTCCCTGCCGTTCTTCCGACGGCTTAGCAGAATTGATTTGATAATAACTGGTTGGTGGTTTCAACCCCTCTGAAAAATATTAGTCAATGGGGAGGATTATCCCATATATCCTGGAAAATAAGAAATGATTGAAACCACCAACCAGATAAAGTTGGAATGTTCATCTGAGTCCAGTTTGGGTGTGTAAGATTTGTGTCTATCCCCAAATGTCATCTGATTTCTGAAGAGTGACAATAATAATTGTCCTTTTGAAAGTGCCCATGTTATGGGTATGGTGTACCCCCTTTTCATACACACCCAAATGAAGAAAAACCAATGTTTTCCCGGTATTTTAGAGGTTCTACATATGGATTTCTATATGTTCTTGAAGTTACAGTAAATCCCCAAGTTTGTTTTAGCTTCGTCATATCCCCACATATTCCAACCTGGCTGCCAAGCCCGCGAGCTCCGCAGCCGGGCCCTCCGGGCCGCTCCTCGCGCTGGAAACGGCCCTGGAACACGGCGTTGTGGCACAGGAAGGCGGTCTTGGTGTTCTGCCATTTGCCTGGCCGCTGGAAGGCCAAAGCTGGAGGAAATTGGAACTCTTCGGAAATTGGTCGATCATGAGAGGCTACTGAAGAGTGAGGTGACAACTATTGTATACTATTGTAACCTCTAGATGCTGAAAGAATCCAGGAGCTTCATGGTGCTCGGACTTCATAAGAGTCTTGGAATCCAGACATCAGCAACCACGACCTAGTTGAGAGCGTCCATTCAGAAGAAGGGACAGTGGAAGAAGCAAAGCAGAACAGCCAAGTCTGTATTTGTCGGTAGTACCGTAGCCGCCAAAATAGATCGACATGGACCTGGCTCCTGTTTCAGCCGAATTGCCCCCTTTCAAAAATCTTCAAAAGTTCAGTGACAATGGTAGGATATGGAGGTTTCTTGAAATAGGGGTACCCCTAGTCATCATCCATGTTCATGGTATTTTCCATGAAAGATCCACCATCCAGCGTGCTATTGGGGTACCCCCATGACTTCGGAAACCCCCATATGGATGGATAGTGTCAACATCCCATGGCTCTCACGAACTCCCACGCGCCTGTGGTGGTCTTCTCTGCATGGATCAGCATGGGCACCAGGGCGCTGTGCCAGTCGTTGCAGACCACCATGCAGTCGCTGCCATAGATGGCACCACCCAGGGACAGCTCCTGGCAACCACCAAGCAATTGGGGTTGAAGATGGTGAGACACCATATTTTCAGGTATAGTCTATAATAGTCTGTACATGACGATATGTATATATATATATATATTATATAGGGTGGGGCCCCATAGTTAGCTAAGTTGGTTTATAACTATAATAACAATAGTGTATGATACGCAACTGGGGGGCCCCATCCTGTATATATACACACACACACGATTGGGATGCCAGGACTGCCCCACCAGCCCAAGGCACCAGGTAATCATTGCTTGAGTTTGGGCTGTAATAAGGAGATAGGGATTGGATGATTGGCAAACATGAAGAAAAATTGGTGCACGTCTTACCCTCTGGTAAACGTTTACATAACTATGGGAAATCACCATTTTCAATGGGTAAATCCACTATAAATGGCCATGTTCAATAGCAAACTGTTAAATTACCAGAGGGTAGACTGACCCATGATAATCATGATACTGGGCCGCTTGGGTCCTTGATCTTCCGACACTTGCCATGTTTCATTAGTCTTGCAAGGTGGTGTAAGCCCCCAGTGATGTTTGTTGGTTTATACCCTCTGGTAAACATACAAAAAGCTATTGAACATGGCCATTTACAGTGGAATTACAAAATAAAAATTGTGATTTTCCATAGTTATGTAAACGTTTACCAGAGGATAACCCCCATGTTCACTAGTTCGATCTATCCACCACCCTGGCCAGTGAAGCAACTCATAGACTTGGCGAACGACCTGCACGACCTTGTCATCCCCCATTCGTATTGGTGGAGATGTCGGTGGTGATCTCGAACTCTGAGAAATCAATTCTCAATATGGCAGTGTGTCAAAACCTTGTACCCCTGTAGTTCACATCAAAATAGCTGGTAAATGGATGTTCATTCCCCTAAAAATGGTATTAATAGGTATTGATCCATACCCATATGGGTTTGTCATGGTTTGTCATGGTTTGTCTGAGGGGACCAGTGCTTCATCATTTGTCCTCTTGGCAAGCTGGCACATTCATGCACATGTCACATTCCCCATGGAAATGACATGCCCAAATTGAAGGAAAATCCAACCTTTTTTCCCGGCCAACTCACAATTTGTCCAAGTGAAATCCCTTGTTTTGTGGCTATATATGATAGCCCTCTGGTTATTTAACAATTTGCCGTGGAAAATGGACCGTGAATTTATGATGATTTACTTATTAAAAAAATGATTTAGCATGATTTAGCATGATTTAGCTTGATTTAGCTATGTCCTCAAATATCCCAAGAACTTTTCTGGGAACCCCTGGGAACCCCCTCCGGGCACTCTCCGGGCCACCCTCCGTAGCTCCTGGATGGCCTTTAAAGCAGCCTTGCAAAAGTAGGCAAAACGCGCCTGGGAAAAGCTGGTCACGGGTCACGGGTCACGGGTCACGCCCCGACCTGAATTCACCATTTCTTGCTTGGTGTTTGAATGTTTTTGACCCATGCTCACATGAAATCACATGAATGTGTGTGATTGTGAGTGTCTGTGAGCATGTTGAACATTGTTCAACAAGCGGCCTGGTTGTCAGCGAAATCCTTGCCCCACTCGGGACCGTAAAGCTTGGAGCCAGTCTGACCGTTCACACGCTCGAGGAAGGTGGGGTGATCCACAAAGACATAGTCCACCTTCTGCTTGTAGGTGTGGAAGAAGTGCACGGATTCCTGCTTGCCACCCATGGTCACAGAGCCCCAGTAGCCAGTGTCCCAGGCCTCCGCATACTGGTCGTAACGAGGGGAAATGACCATGCAGCGATGGCCCATAGCCGCCAATGCAATTGGCAGACCATCCATAGCCTCTCCCAGACCACCAGTCTTGGAGAAAGGTGCCACCTCACCTGTGACAAAGACCAGCTGGTACTTCTTGGTGATGGTGGTCACTGGCTTGCCATTCACCATAGACATGGCTGGGCGGCCAGCTGCCATAGCGCGGCCCATGGCAACAGCAGGGGGGCCGGCCTTTGAGACTTCTCCTGAAACAGCCCCAGCAGCGGCCTTGGCATACGCCCGAGCAGGGCCGACCGTGCTGGTGGCATAGGCAGAGGTTCCAACTTGGCTTGCTGGCACTGGCTTTCCACTCACCATGTTCAGGACGGCGGTGGGAGCAGATCCCATAGTGTCCGTGGGCAATGGTCTGCTGGGAATGGCTGACATCTTGGCCTTTGCCTTTGGCTTTGCCTGGGGCTCGGCTTTGGCACCAACACCCTTGGCAAGGGCGGAGCCAGTGCCTGCCAGACGCTCAGCTGCAGTGACTGGTTTCTTGCCTTCCTCCACCACAGCAGCCGCAGACATTGGGGGCACCGGTGCAGACTTGGCTTTGGGTGCTGCACCAGCACTGGCTGGGCCAGTGCTTGCAGGGACGGCGCTTGCCGGGCTCAGAGTGTTGACACCCTGTCCACCGGACCCGGTCAATGTCGCTGCCTTGCTGGTTGGGGCAGCAGGCGCAGTTGCTCCTCCCTGAGTAGTGGCAGCCGTCTTCTTCTGCTCCTCAACCTTCGGTGCCTCATCACGAGACTTTGCTGCGGCAGACACTTCAGCTGGCTTTGCCACTGGCACGACACTTGGTGCCTGAGCAGGGGTGGTTGCTTGAGGGGCAGACATTGTTTCAGTCTAGTCCTCTGGGGCCGTCACTAGATGAAAATTTGAGAGACACTGGCAGCGGCAAATGACGATAGAAAACATGTCAAAGAGCATCTTAGCAGAGATATGCAGAGATACTGTACTTGGAAATGGAAAGCCGTCTTGGCATGGAATGACCTCATGCAAAAATGACATCAGCCGAACACGAATGAAATGCCCCTGCTGCCTAGCTGTTTCTTCTCAGAGCTTTGATGTGCGCTTCCTTCAACTTGTAAAATCTCCCATGTTCCACGTGTGTCTTGGTTCGTCATGAACGGAGACACAAGCAAATCATTCAATTCACTATAAGATCTATAAATTCATTGCGGAACTGAGACCATATGAAGTCGGTCATACGTGGAAGCTTGAGGAGGCATGATTGCGGTACATTAAGTGATTCGCAGATTCTGCGATCAGTAGGACAAACAGCTTGCTGTTCCAGGGCATGGCTTGCAGGTTCTGACCATGCCGCAGTGGAACACAACGGATTCGGGTTTCGGTGCACTTCTGTGTGCGTTCCAGTTTCTGGAAGCGCGGGCACCAAGTTGCAAGGCTCTTTGCGCCAAGCGTCAAACAGATCCTCTCAAAAGTGAGTCGGTGTTTTTCAAATGTTGGTTTGAAAGGAAAATCCCTGGCCCCCCGAGGGGAACATCCAGCCCTGGTTGGTTTATTTTTCAGCAGGTTTGTTGAACCCCCATAGCGAAACGGGGGGGCGCCTGGATTTTCCCTCCAACCAAAAGTCAAATACAAAGGACAACATTCCAACATATCTTTGGAACCGCAAGAAGCTGAAAGCATGTTGTAAATGATTTCATCATCTCTGCATACGGGTATGACATTTTCTCACGTGCAAGAAATCGGATGAAATCAGAAGAAAACCGCGTTCTTTCTTCACAAAAATTTCTAAGGATTCACAGAAAGGAAAATCAACAAAAGCTTAGTGTCATCTCAGTCTGCAGGTTGCCTCCCGGGTGGGCAACCGCTTGTTGAATGTCGATGACAGGTCTTTGATGTCTAAGACCATCTTGTGATGATTCCAGCCATCATTCCAGAGAGGGAGAACAGTGAGGTCATGATCGAATTCATCCTTTTAGAGGGAAATATCAAATGGAGTTACTCCCTTTTTTCCTCCAAAATTCAACAATTTTTCTACTGAAACACCTATGCCAAATTGGGGATACCGGTGGGTTTTTTTCATCGTTACCAGTGCCCTCACGGTCGACGGCTCTGATGTAAAACCAGGCAATTTTAGTTTGTGGTGTACAGTGTAGAGTCTACCACTTGGGGGTAAGTGGGTGAAATTAAAAAACATGGGGGGGATAAACGTCTATTTCACCAGAGTTTTATATGTTTTTTGTTTGGATTTTGACCCATAGCCGGCCATGACTTTCCAACCCGGCCATCGAACAAATTTTGTTCGGAGCTCGGCTCTTCCCAAAAGAGAATCCATCACCATCAACTAGCTGAAGCGCTTCAAAACCCAAAATGGTGTCTCCTATTGCTGGTTGGTCAAGTGGCCGAATCTCCCAATTAATGGAGTGTGACAATATATTGGATAGTATAACCCCATATAAAATCGTCAACAGGGGTTTTGAACACTGCCCGCATAGTTTGAATGCCATTCCCTTTTTTAGGGTGTCCAATGTCTACGCATAGCACCTGGATTTTTTCGCCGCAAACACACAACCAACATGGAATGGTTTAATGTACCATCTGGTTATTTAACATAGCCATGGAAAATCACCATTTTTAATAGGTAAACCATCTATAAATGGGCCATGTTCCATGGCTATGTTAAATAACCAGAGGGTAGTTTCTCCAGATCCAGATCCATGTTCACTCATAACCATCTGGTTGGATTCCCATCAAAGCAACATTTTTGGGAACACCCTTGCATCAATAATGTCAACCCTGGATTAATAAACCCCATTTACGGCTGTTTAATTGGGGGGATACCATAAATAAGTATTATATGAAATGACTATTGGAGGAGTACCCCCCAATACACATGAATCTAATCTATGAAGTCGGTTTGTCTGAAAATGGGGTACCTCCAATGAAAAAACGAAATATCATCATGCACCCATTCAAATTGCCATTTGTGAGGGGTACCCCATTTTCAGACACGCCGAAATAACTTCAAACCATCTACTTGGAAGTGCAGTTCCAGTTGTAAGTGGAGCTTATATCCCAACTTATTGGAGTTTATAAGCATGGTTATAGCTATAATGTGGGTAAATCCCAATGCCATAAATGTAAACCATCCCCCAAATCATCACCATTTTTATAGGTGGTATGTTTACCATTCCCAGTCATGGGTGGTGTATGACATTGTTTTACCCACATTAAAAGGAATCGTTTTTGGCCAAGCCCAAGTAGAACACAGCCAGGGCCTGGGTCAAAGCCGTCTCAGCAGACCTGCTTGTCCGTTTCCAACGTCACCGTTTCCACCCGACCTGAGCTCATGGCCCCTGCTGGCGAAGTTGCTTGAACTAGGTAAAACATGGTAAAACTAGGATTTATGATGCATATGTATCGTATACGTATGTATAGTTGGATGAATTTACAAACCGACATATACATTGGCGGGTTTGACTCTGTGTTTGAATATCATTAACTGGCTGAACTTGCCCATCAAGGTATCCTTTGGTCGCTAGAGGTTGCAAGAACTATCAAGAACCATTGTACGAGCCATGTGGGAATACCCGAATACTGATTACGAACCATTAAGAACCATTAAGAACCATTAAGAACCATTAAGAACCATTAAGAACTGATTAACCCTCTGGTAATCCAACGTGACACTTGTTCTAACCTCACCTCGATGATTTTAGTTCTGGGATTTCCAAGCTTAGCGCTTGCCATGTTTGAGCAACGTAGGATGGGTCATCGGTATTAACCATGACTCATGGTGGGTTAATGATGGTTACTGATGGGTTAATGATGGTTAATGATGGGTTAATATGGGTTAATATGGTTTAATGATGGGTTAATATGGTTTGATGGTTAATGATGGGTTCATACAGTATCTATTCTCAGAGCCACATCCCTTGCCCATCGGTACCCCAATCATTCAACCCATTCCATCGTGTTTTTCTGCACACCAAGGGGCCCGCACGTCACTGCAAATATAATCGTAAATAACAAATCCAAGCATAACTGAAGTGAATTAACAAAAAATATTGGAACACGAGATAACAGGATTACTTTTTTAATATACATATATAATATAAAAATTCACCAACTTTTTCAGAAATGATCCGTCTTTTTGGGAGAGTTACCCTCCAAATTCGTTCAAGCCCAGTGATCCAACCACTAACACAATCCTCCTATCGCCCAAGGACTTGGATCAACTTGGTTTTTTCATATACCCAACTAATTATAGGATGTTTATATCTTAACATGTCTATAGTTGGGTATATGAAAAGCAACTGTAAATTAACTGTTAATATACCCAACATAATTAAAAACCAACTAATTAACTGTTAATATACCAAATTTGTTTATAGTTTATACATTGTAACAGGCTATATATAAGACAACCAACCACTTCAGCACTCCTCCAAGTAGCCGTTCAACACGTCCTTCACGCCCACCTCCTTGAAAACTGCCTCGTATTGCAGCGCCGCATTGCTCCAGGTATACTCCGCAGCTGCCGCCATAGCGGCCTGTTTCATCTTCACCACCTGCAACGTCACCATCAAAAGAACCATCGAAAATCAAGTAACGACGATAAAATGCGACAATGTCCTGAATGTGGAAAGTGGAAAAATTTCCCAAATATGGAATTTAGATGAATTTAGAACAAGAAAATCAAGCTGTAAATCGGAGACTTTCCATCACCAACACTGGCAAGATCGCCGGCAACCAAGGGATTCGGAATGGCAATCTGTACACTGTACACCCCTGAAACTACAGGAATTGGCAGGAGTCTAGTTAAAAAAACACAGGAAAATCCAAGACATGTTTCGTGATTGTTTGTTTCTCAATAAGTTTATATAGTTCATAGTCATAGCGAGTTGGTGATTTCAGCATATATTTTCCGGATTCGCGTTGGGATTTGGGAAGCTATCCCCAAATACTCGGCCAATGAATCCCATGGATTTGAATATGCCAAGCGCAGTCGGTGCATCCTATCTGCTTGGTTAAATCTCTTGGGAGAGCTTTAGAAACTATGAAACTATGTTGCCATCATTTTGGGGTACTCAATCCTATAGTCATCTATAATATGTCACCTTTAAAATTAGTTTACCAAGAATTGCAAAAAGAAATCTACATACTCTGTACGTTGGTGGAGAGTCTCACATTAAACAGCCATTGAAATGCAGAAGATGTCACAGCGGCCACACAGCTATCTCAATTATATTAATATGATTTGGAGAGTTGAATGGTTCTTATGTGAAAGATTCTTCACCAAGTTCAAGGTTCATCATGGTTCATCTCTATATATATATCCCTCTCTACCCGAATTGGCCTCTGGCAATTGAATCCGGCATAGCCGAAAATACCCCATGAATATTGACGATCTGCCCGAGAAAAGTTGGTGGATGCTGAACTGCAATATCTGCAATGGTAAACAACGGCTATTCATCATTCTGGCTGAATTGTCACAAAGTTCGGCCATTTGGAGGATTCCCTATGCGATCCATCATTCGACGTCACGACGTGTCGGAAAAAAAATCATCAGAAAATTGGCTCGTCCCAAGAAACCCTTGGAGAATCCACCTCCATAGCGCTCAGCTGATTTTGACTGGTTAGTGGTTGAGCCCTACCCCTCTGAAAAATATGACGAATCGTCAGTTGGGATGATGAAATTCCCAATATATGGAAAGTCATAAAATTCATGTTCCAAACCACCAACTAGATGAAAATTATGAAGCCCTGGTGATCCCTGGTGAAACTCCTTGTGTTCGTAGGTTGGTAAAAATCATGTTTTTGCTCCCATTTTACAAGCCATACACGCCGCCATACATGCCACTTACTGGGGAAAAAATGATGATGAGCTATCGATTTGAGAAAACCCCTAAATTTAAAAACACATGTCATAATCTAAAAATCTAATGCTATTGTCATCCCATCATTATCCCATACCCTATCGCTCCAAAGAGTTTCTCAGACTGTACTTGGGGCTGTTTCTTGGGTTCCAAATACCTTCTGAAACAATAACTTGGAGCACTATGGTATCATCCCATTTCATAATCTACAAAATCCATCAAAATCCCATCTGAAAATTATCATCCCATCATTCTCCTTGCATTTCCCTAAGGGTTCCCCCCCCAAAAAAAAACATTAGTCCCTATAGATGCCCCAGACATAGTATCTCTGATAGTAGTTTCCCATAGTTTCCCAGATCAACGAAAATCTTATCCTATTTTCCCTGATCTTTGTGGATTCCTTATAGTTTCCCTATAGATCCACGTGAAGACTCCAGATCCACCACGCCGTGACGTCCGCGACGTCGCGGACGTCCCCCGCCTTCTGCGGTTCCGATTGGAAGAGCTGCGAGGCACGGCGCAGGGATTTGCTGATGGACTCCACTGACTCCTGCGAGGAGGGACTCATGGAGGGACTTCCCTGGTTGTAACATGTTCAGTGGCTTCTCTTCCCGGAAACCTTGGCATTTCGGCATGGATCCCAGTCCTAGTCCTCAGCATGGCGGTACTATCTACCAAAAACCTCTTCTGGTTGGTGGTATACCTACCCCTCTGAAAAATATGACGAATCGTCAGTTGGGATGATGAAATTCCCGATATATGGAAACATAAAATTCATGATCCAAACCACCAACCAGATAACCATAACTGGATTAGGCTGATAGCCTCAGTAATTTTTCACATAGCGAACTGGAAAATGGATGAACATCATTGTTTCAATGGTCTATTTATGGATGATTTATAGTCAATACCTAGGCTGATACCCTCAGTTATATAGGGATACTGGGATATACCATGGTATTAGGCTCTGATTTAGTGGGGATTCCATCAAGGGGGGTTCCATCGGTTCCATCAATGGGGGTGCCCCAAAAGGATATTTTTGTTGCCAGGGCCATGAATTTTCCATGTGTTGGTATACCTTCTGGCCTTAGGATACCCGAAATGGTAAACGTTTACATGGCGAACTGGTAAATCATCATGGTATAGCTGGGTAAATCAACTACAGATGGCCATTTTCAATAGCGAACTCTTAAATTACCAAAGGCTAGTACCCTGGGGATATATCATGGTAATTACTGGATAAAGAAATCAAAGAAACTTGACTGGAATAATTGAAAACCCATGGCAATTACAAACATGGCAATTGAAAATCAATATTGATATACTGAGAAAATGACTACCCTGCGGTAATTTTTCACATGGCAGAAAATCCGCTATCACTCCAAGGTTGCGAAAATCAACGAAAACTCAATGGTGGAGTTTTCCAGCAAACCCATGGTTGACAAGTTTTTTTAGACTCACTGAAAATTTGACCTGGGATTTGAAATGGATTTGAAACCAGGGCAGTTTTTGTCAGGGCAGTTTTTGTCAGGGCAGTTTTTGTCAGGGCCTTTTTTTCGGATCAACGGATGAACATCCGTCAGGCTTCCACCACAAAAAAATTGACGCTTTAATCCATGGAAAATGTGGTCACCCTCCAGTACCCAACAAAAAACGGTGGTCAATGGAAAATGTCCCATAATTTATGGATTACTCTATCTATCCCAGCTATAGATCGGTATCACATAATCTATTAGTTGCTTCACATAATCCCTGTATCACAGATCTTTCTCATGTTATACCTATCTATTCTATCCCAATCTATAGCTATTTGATCTATAGATTTCTCCAGAGATAGAAACATCCCAGCCATTTCAGGGTACCAGTATCGGGTCAGGTTTTCACGCTCCTGATCCACGATGGCTTCCACCGTCATCTCCTTCTCCGTCCAGAGCCCGTTGACGCCATCCTGTGGCGGAGCCGGCCGTTCGAAGATGTTCGACATGTTCACCAAGCATAGGGGAAGATCATAGGGATATAAAGTAGGCAAAAATATTTGGATATAATAACCATCCTATATATATATATGATATAGTATGGTAATATAATAGAATATAGTAGGTATATACTATATAGGTATAAGCCTACAAGGATATTATATAGTATGATGATGTATGATGGTTATTATAGTAATCAATTGTGATGTAAGTAACCATCATAGGGATATAATACGCGAAAATGGTGATTATGCGAACCATAGTATGGGTATTATACGGACTTTAATGGGATAATGAGCGATGTTAACCAATAGTCTAACAGGAGTGGTTTGTCCAATTGTTTCATGTTAACAAAAAAATGGAGCTGTAAAACCAAATATAGTGGGAATATCATGGGATATAATTGGGGACATTCATGGTACATAAGGCAATTGGTTTTTTAACAAACATGGGAAATTTATCGCAAATTAAACACATTATTAAACACATGATTAATTTCAGACAAATCCAGATTGGGTAGGGAACTGGTTCGTGACATTTAGTCATTTAGTGTTGCTTTAGGTTGGAAGATTGGGATTTCGATCATCAAGTAAATAATGTTCAAGAATATATTTCGAAAAATGATACAGTAGATATATAATGATATATATTATTCTAACATTATGGTCCAACTGATCAAGTAAATAATGTTCAATAATATAATATTCTATATAAATATTGATATATTTCGATTATATATATATGGTCCAACTGATCGGTTGATCAGGTCATTCTCGGAAATTTATGTATCTAACATGCTGTGCCACACGGATCACCAAATGTTTTTGCACCGTGCAAACCTACAAGAGGTGGGGGTCACAATTTTGATCAATGTTATTTTTTTCACATGATTCAATTTTTGTCAATTAAACACAATTAAACCACCAATTTGGTTTCATTGTAAAAATCAAGAAACCCCGTTTGTTTGATCAAACGTAAATTTTACTCGTTCAAATCATGGGTAACACCACCATTTATGTCACTCAACTCACCAATGTATCCACCTTTCCCCCCGGCCTCCACGGTGTCTTTCAAGCCACCGGTGGGCGCCACAATGGGCAACGTTCCCAGGCGCATAGCCTCCATCTGGACCAGGCCGCAAGGCTCCCACCTTGTCAGCTGTTAAACCGGAGAAACTCTGAAAAAACGCTAAGCAATACCATCCGCATTTGATGAACACCCAGGCCCGCAGGCATTGGGAAGAAACATATTATATATACATATGTTACATATGTGTCTATATATATATATAATATATATATATGTGTGTGTGTGGTTGTATTTGTACATATAATATATCAAATATCCACATCATTATTCGATGGGTTAACTATTTTTTGATGGATTTGGGTACTACAGTTTCAGCCGGCCATGGAGAAGACCATGGGGTAGCAGATGAACCTTTAAAAATAACAGTAACTCTTTATCAGTCACTCTTTATCCAAAACAGTATATAATTATTTATCCAAAAATAACCCTCAAATACACCTTAACAGTAACAAAATAACCTTTGGTTGTTCAATCAGCTGAACCTCTTCCCTTTTTCTTGGCTTATTTTTTTGCACTGCTCTTAGGCTTGCCTTCAACTAAAAAGACGCAGTAGAACTCAGAAGAGAAGTGGAAAAGCTACAAAGTGAGGCCCCCAAACGATAGCTAAGTTGGTGAACATAACTCCAATAACTATGGTTTATGGTACTTATAACTATAGTTACTGGGGTTTATAAACCAATTTATAACTGGGGGGCCCCACATTGTATGTTCTTCAGAAAACCAACACATTCCCCGGAGGTGTCTCCGCAACCGACCACCTGGAAGGCAACAAGGTGTAGTCGCAAGCTGCCAGCAGGGCGTAACGCTCAGGGCCCATCCAACCAGCGAAGAAGAACTTGTTGGGATATTTCTTCTCCACAGCCTGGAGATGGCTGATAGCTGATGGCTACCCGGCCTGGTAATGACATTTACAGTTTGCGAACTGGAAAATGGCCATGTATATCCATTTATAGTTGATTTACCCATGAAAATAGCATGGTGGATCTTTCCACTTCGCTTTTTTAACAAATCACCAGGGGGTGCAGAAAAAACCGCCAAAAACCCTCTGGGACCTTTGTCCATTCGTAGGTAAAATTGACCATCTCCACGAGCTGGGAACACACACCCGACCGACCACAAAGTGACCCACGGTGCATGAAATCTGGGCGCATCAAAAAAATAGCACAAGGTAGTGCCCCCCCAATTACCCTCTGGTAATTTGTTACATAGCTATTGAAAATGGCCATTTATAGTGGATTTTCCCATTGAAAATGGTGATTTTCCATAGCTATGTTAAATTACCAGAGGGTATGTTGATTGGTTTCTAAAGCCAACTAGCTCGAGCTACCTATCAGAAACTCCATAGTTGACCTACTTAGTTCAACCAACTTAGTCATTCCGCACTAAGGCCCCACCGAACTTAGATAATTATCGTATCACTGTTTTCCGATACTTCTGTCACTAACATCTATGTTCGTTGTTCAACATTTGTAAAGCGTTGGGAATCCTGAGCAAATTGTGATATGGCTGTCTCAAATCTGTAAAGTAAGGACTTTACCCGGCATTTCTCGCGACTACCTGGGAAATTCATGATTCTCCAGACTCGACAGACCAGTCTTTTTGGGCAAAAAATCCCACCTTTTGAGTGCCTGCCCCACAACCTCAAGTCTGGTGAAGACCGGTGGTTCGGTTGCATTTCTGAATGCAGAAACGAATGCAGATCCTGGTTGGTGGTGCAATAACCATCTTAGAAAAAACATGAACAATGATGGACTTCGTCAATGGGTTTCGGATGACATCCCATATTAATGAAATGGAACATAAAAGCCATGTTCCAAAGCACCAGAGATCTTTGATGCTTTGATGTTGAAAAGAAGTCCACGTCTTTCATGGGTTTTTTTTTTGATATTTCTTGACTAATCCTCCCCATCTGATGGGCAGCATTCCAACCCCATCGGTGTTTTTCTCTCCCCGGCCCCACCTTGGTTTGCGCTACCAGATCAGAACGGCCTGCGCCCACCACCACCACTTGGAGTTCCGTGTCCTCCGTGTTGGACGCTGTTGGAGATCCCGAAAAGCAGCCGGTGGCATGGAAAACCCCTACAATGTGGGGCCCCCCAGTGATGTTAATTGGTTTATAAAGCCCAGTAACTATAGTTATAAGTACCATAAACCATAGTTATTGGAGTTATGTTCACCAACTTAGCTATCTAGGGGGCCCCACTTTGTAGTCATAGATGTTTTACCCTCTGGTAAATTAACAGTTTGACCCTGAAAACAGCCAATTGTTAGTGGAAACTGGTCTGAATCAACCCCGACAACTGCCAGGGTCTATGTTAATTTACTGGAGGTTTTATATGGTTTAATTCGGAAAAGCTAACTATAAATGGGTGAAATTGTCCATTGCCATGTGTTTTTTTGTGAAGGGTAGGGCAATTGGATGTGCATCCCACTGATTATAAGCAATATATCAGAGGGGATATCCTATCAATCAGTTGGTTATCACATGGTTTTTAAACACTTATTGGCCGGGATGCACCAACTAAATACGAGTGGCTAGTATACGTGGTGCCTTGCCTTTTAGCCACTCAATAAATGGGATAACCATGATAACCTACAAGGTGGTGGTTCCCAGTGATGTGAACGTTGGTTTATAACATTTTATAACCCCCATGAAGTAGTTCGGTATATCTAGCATAAATCCAGTCGTGAAATTGGAGTTATGTGAACCCCAACTGAACGCGCACGAACTGGGGCACCACCTTTTACCTGGGGACCTGTCAAAAACCAGTTGGTTATAATCAAGTACGATCCCGTGGTAATGTTCCAAGGATGTAGGGAAGCCAAAGATAAATAAACCCCCCAATTTATGGGGGTAAGATGAGGCAACTCTGGTGTATTCCCAGAAAAAAAGTCAGCATATATGACCTCTAAACATGTGTCTCTGTATATATGTATAATATACACATGTCAAGGCTTTAATAGAAATAAAATCCAAATAACATATTGGTGTGACCCAAAGAACTTAGGATAGATTGAATTGACCTAAATCATGTATGGCCGTATGGCATGACAGGAAAATGGTCAATCGAAAACTATCTAAAAACAGTTCCAAACTGAAAAATACCATGCAATCTGGTTGTTGGTTGACCTACTCCTCTGAAAAATATGAAATTCAATTGGGATGATTCTTCCCAATATATGGAAAATTAAAAAATGTTCCAAACTTACATACCGTGCAATAAAGTATTATTTGTTTAGTTGGAATGAGTATATCGTATTTTCAGTTATAAAAGATTGGGCTTGTGTTTTACAGCAACAAAACTATCGGGTTATAGAATGATACTTATAAAACTATCCCCAATTTTCATCATTTGTTCAATGGCCATTTCAGGAACCTAAATTGGAGGTAACTACCATATATAAGGCCTATTTTTCAGGCCTAGATTTCAGGGGATATGCCCACAATTCATATGGCCCAACATATGGTACGTTTACGTACCTCCATTTTAGGATCCTGAAATTCCTATAGAACTATAGATGAGGTACTATGATTCTCCTATCATCTCCAGCTTTCCAATTTTAGGAACCTGAAATTCCCATTGATATAATGGGATATTAGCCAATATTCTTGATGGGAAGACTCGCTATTTCGACTGGGCCATTTTCCAGTTCGCAAACTGTAACAGTCATTACCAGAGGGTGAATCCCATTAACTATCATCAATCACCATTAATCACCATTAACCACCATAAAAATCACCATTAATTCCCATGGATTTGTTGCGTTTTAAAACGCCAAAAGGTCAAAGAACCCACTGGCCCACCGTTCCGTTCGACTCCTCGAGCACTTCCACCAAGGACTCCAGGAGCAGATCGTAGCCTTTCTGCGCATCCAAGCGCCCAATGAAGCCTGGAAAAAACAAACGAAAGAAACCAATGGAACCATGGTAATAGAAAATCATGGTTACCCTCTGGTAATTTAACATATGAAAATTGCCATTTATAACCATTTATAGTGAACAAAGGGGGGAATTAGCATAGTTAATGGTTGACAATGGAACGATTATCAACATCTGGTTGGAACCACTGACATTAGATGAACCAATGGTGTTAAAGTATCTATATAATCGATATTATGACTTACAGTACCCTCTGGTAATTTGTAATAGTTCGCTATTGAAATTGGCCATAGAAATAGTGATTTTGTTCAATTGAAAATGGTGATTTGGCCCATAGTTATGTAAACGTTTACCAGAGGGTAATGGTTGACAATGGAACGATCAACATCCATTGACATCCATTTTTTTATCATGTTCAACCAGAAAAACCATGATTAACCATGGTAATTCTAGTAATTGACGACCAAAAATCCCAAAAATCCCAAAAGGTCCCTCAGAATTCCAAGTTTTACCCTCTGGTAAACTAACATAACTATAGAAAATCACCATTTTTAATGGAAAAACTCACTATAAATGGGCCATTTTCAATAGCTATTTTGACATAACCAGAGGGTAGTGCCCGCAGATGGACCCAGGTCCATCGCTACCGAGATCCTTGGTGAACTCACGGGTTTTCCAAGCGGAATTCCCGAAAAATTCTTCGAAGTTGAGCCAGTTTTCCTGCTTTTTGTAAGAATTAAGTCCCCCATAATCATATATCATATATATCTACACATGACCCACCGTAACATTAATTATTTATTTATTTATATATATATATCATATATATCATATATATATATCATATATATATATCATATATATCATATATATATATCCATGACATCCCCATAATTCCATAATTTATCCCATTTTTTTGGTCCCCCAAAAAATTGTCCATCCTGGGCCAAGGCCCAATCCCGGGTTTTTAACGGAATCCAAGGCACACATCAACGGGCCGCTGCAGCCAGTGAGGCCGTTCTGCGCGCGATAGGCCGCCTTTAACTCGGTCTTGGCCATGTCACCTGGGATTTTTCAACGAAAAACTGTGGAAGTCCAGAATTTGGGGGAAAGCTATGGGTAAACTGTGGTGATTTATGGTTTTTTTCATGGTTAATAGTGGTTAACAATGGTTAATAAAATTTTACCCGGACATTGATACAAAGTGATGCCCCCGTTTACGATAGCTAAGTTGGTGAACATAACTCCAATTTCACTAGGACTTATGGTAGATATATCTCTGGTTGATGGGGTTATAAACCAACTTATAACTGGGGGGGTACCACATTGATAGGTGGGGGGAAAGCTATAGGAAAACTGTGGTGATTTATGGTTAATAATGGTGAATCATGGTCAATGGTTTAAAATAATGGTTTCATAGGTTACTAAACGGCAAGGCACTCAACAAAAGTATCAACATACAGATTTGTGTTTGGGATATTGCCGTTTGCGGTTGAAAACATAGAGTTCAACTCTTCATGACTATCATGGCTGTGTCTGGAAATGTATGGAAATGTGGTGATAGGGAACATGAGGTTTTCGAACAAAAAGTAGCCATAAGTAGCCTATTTTCGTATTTTTCGTACACACATTCTCAGTAGACCTCTAACTATTCAAAAAATGCTCACAGGGAGGTGGAAATCCTCGCCCCAACAAAAAATTATGGATGCGGAATGATATGGAATGGGATCAAGATTCCGGTGCAACCAAATTGATGCCTCATACAAGACCGGACCAGTCCAAGAAATTTTGTGAAATACCCAGATTTTAGATCATCTTATAACTTATAACTGTGAATTCATGGTGAATCTGGGCACCAAATCAGGATTTTCCCATGGATTTTCCCATGGCTTTTCTCTGCCACCGGGAAAATCCTGCAGCTCCACCAGTTGCTTCCATGGCCAGTTGACTTTTTGGAGCCCAGTGACAGTTGGCGGAGTTGTAGGGTCCACAGGTCATCATGGTCTTCGTCACGAAGTTCCTTATGAAAAGTCGGAGTAGATAGAAGGTGGTATTTGTGTATGAATTTCTTTACAAAAAAACTCACTAAATTGGGAATGTTCTTTGAAAAAATCCTCAAAATTATATGATATATCTACTTCAGGATGATTACGGTATCTTAACGGATTGATGTCAGGGAAAGCCGAAACCGGTTTTCCCATGGAAAATATCGGCTCCAAAGATTGAGCTTGCCTGCAATGTTTCCCATCATCGAGATGGTAAGGTAAGCATACTTACCCAATTGCAAGTGCAATACTCCCTAGTTCTCCATTACATGGATTATTCTATCAGCCACTTATAATTCCTGGGATTCATCAGATCTCCCAAACAAAGAGTTGTCACCTTATACCCCACCTATATAGACAGAAAAACATGGTCCCAATATCTGTTTCAACTGGTGGTCCCAGTGATTGCTATTCCCTAAACCATATCATCCCTATCTGGCCGAGCCGTGAATTTCCCAGCTTTTCACGAGGACTTGGCCCCCCAATTTCCCTGGCTTCCAAGGCGCTTATCGCTGGGAGAAACGCCCTCCTTCACACCGTTCAGGATGCCTAGTGCAGTTTCTGCAGAGCTTGGCTCAAGAATTGGGAATTTCACAACACCCCAAAAAAAACGGATAGAATTCGGTAACCATCCTACTAAGAAATACCCTCTGGTTATTTAACATAGCCATGGTATAGATGGCCCATAGAAATAGATGGTTTACCTATTAAAAATGGTGATATTCCATGGCTATGTTAGTCATAACCAGAGGGTAGCTGTTAATGACATTGCATACTTTGTTGGGGGGAGAAGTCGGGTGCTGCCAGGGTCTGGTGTTCAACCCCGGTCACACTCACAAGCAAGTTATATATGATTGTAATATGGCTAGATTAGAGTAGGGTATAGTTTTTTTGATTTTCTTTTGATAAATGTCCGTTCAAGTTCTTCTAGTGTTAAAACATGTTGAAACAGTGTTGTACTTGAGACGGTTCTCGCTAAGATATAATGCTGTCAGCATCAGTAAACATGGTCACCTCTAGTGAGTTCTATGAAAAAAAATACTGTAGCGATGGCATCAACAATTCCATTTCCTCACCGGAACGAAGTGGGTCTATGGCACTTCTATGGGAGGTGTGTTGATGGTGCCAGTCTTCGTCCCCCTCTTTTGACTTTAGCAGTAGACATGATCATGATCACATTTCCTTTTTTCTAGCAATCCCCAGAAGTGCCCAGGAAGTTTGCAGTACCATATATGTACCCTAGTTATATCTATTTATACAGAAAAATGAAGTTCTACAAGAGTATCCAAGATTGACCCAGATTTGTCATGATTAATTCACGTTTAATTCACGCCATCTGTGTTGAGAAAAAAACCTTCACATTTGATGTTTAACTCCAGGCTTTGAACTGTGCTCACCTCAATTGAATGTCCGCCTGCAGCTAGGCCGAACTAGTGGAAGACTTTGATCCTCTGACCCTCTGAGAGTTGACGTCACATCTCATTTGATATAACAATGCATATCAGGCATATCAGTGATTTTTAATATCATTGTACATATAATTTAGATTTTTTCAACAGGGACATAGAAAATTGTCATGTTTTAGATGCCCAGATGCCCGAAATTGGTGGATCAACGGGTCAAAAACCATCAGCAAATCCTTGGTCCCTTGGGTCTCCAATTTGGACACCCAGATGTCGCCAGCAATTCATTGCTATGAATAACATCCATAGAATCATATAATCCTTACCGTATATCTCAATAATCAATCATCAATAATCAATCAGCAATAACGCCATCAATAATCAAAACACCATCAATAATCATGCATTATAATATATTATAGTCATGAATAGCCAAAAAACACCATCAATTGTCTCAATTCTTTCGGCAATCTCAAGCCTTTCATTTGGGAAAATCATCAAACGTCATTTGGGGATTGGGTCAAGTCGGGTACCCCAAGTCGGGTACCGCACCTGTGCACTTCGCCATCTTAAAGAGACCTTCCAACTCTACGCCTCAGGTTTGCTCCAGGGAAAATCGTCTATGAAAAATGGTGATTTCATGGGATTTTATGGTGAGTTAGTGGGACTGAATGGGGATTTATGGTGATTTCAAGGCATTTCAAGGCTGGGATTCTCTGGGGATTAGGAGGGATTTAACCAACAAACATGGGGGCATTAATGAGCAATGGCCTCCGGTAATTTAACAGTTTGTGAACTGGACATTTGGGTTTGGGGTGTAAATTGGCTAATGATAGATGTAGATGCTCGCCAATTGTCCCCCAAAAGTGGCTTTAATTCAACTGCACTTGAAGCAACCCTGATTTGGGGAGCTTGAAACCGGGAGGTATTGGGATATACCCCAGTTATTAACCACTTAGTTAGTTGTGGCAACATCTAAGTAGACTCATCTGGGCTATTCATCATCATTCATAGTCTTTTTTACATGGATTTCCTAATCTAAAATTACTCAACCAGCGAGTAGACACGGATGGCAGGAGAACTCATCCGTGTGACTGGAATGGAAATCGACAAAAGGCCGGGTTCCGTTTGATTTCGTCCAATTCAATTCATGTGTTGTCACCATTTCCATTCGGGAGTCATATCCATGTTGCTGGTTAAATTTTAATATTTCACTGACCTGAATTAAGGTCATTTGGGGATGATTCCCCTTATTAACCATGATTATAGTGAGGGAGAACAGTGAGGTCGTTATAATTTACCCAGATGTTGGTATATTGTTACTGCTAAGTCCTTGAGTTTTCACCCTGTGTTCACCCCCATAGTGGTGCTTTAATTCTCGGAAAGTTCTTGGTCCACCATCCACATGAAGGTGGATTAGATGAGGGTTCTCCGAAGGTTTTTGGCAAATCCCTTTTAAGCCTGACATAGTCCTGTTTCTAGGGTTTGGAATCCTCTCAATCCCCCAAAGAAAAACCCTTTATTATAAAAATTGCAATGTGGTACTTTCATGTACTTTCCGAAGGGGCTAAAACCCCATCAAAACAATGAACTTTCCACTTGGGATCATCATCCATAGATGGATTTTCCATTCTAAACCATCCAGCTATTGGGGATCCCCCATTTCATCCAAATTCAGACGAAGTCTAATAAAAGAGCTGACAACCTACCATGTGGTTATGACTAACATAACCATGGAAAGATCCACCATTTTTAATAGGTAAACCACCTATTAATGGGCCACCTATACCATGGCTATGTTAAATAACCAGAGGGTAATAGTGACTGATATACCCCATTTTGGGAATTTCCTGGGCTACAAACATATAAAAATACCATGAATCCGAAAATAAAATGGACGATTTGGGGCTACCCCCATGGATTGGAAATCTCCATGTATATGGAAACTCCATGAAACAGATCATGGATTTACCAAATGAAAATACCCCAATCCCACAACCCCCATCGATCATCAATATTTTGGGATCCATTGACGGAACCCCAATTCATTCGGACTCTGCTTCACCGAGGCCAATCATGTCCTTTTGGTAAAAATAGAGGGGGCGGGAGCTGGTATGCCATCTATCATCAAACAAACCTGTTGTTAAAGGGGTAAACATTCAAACCCCTCTATTAATCAACCAACCAATGGCTGGTTGGTGGTGCAATAACCATCTTGAAAAATATGAGTTCGTCAATGGGAAGGATGACATCCCATATATGGAAATGGAAAATAAAATTCATGTTCCAAACAACCAATCAGTGATTATTAACCATTATTAACCATCATTAACCATCATTACCCCATACTAAACAAATGGATATATCATACCATTACCATTATTAGGACAATAGTTTAGTATGGGGTAATGATGGTCAACCACCATTAACCATCATTAACCACCATTAACCATCATTATCCCATTATATACCATAAACCAATGGGAATTTGGGACATGACCGAGGCACCCTTCTCCGGATCCATGGTGCACTCCACCGCATAGCTCGGCGACACGGTCAACGCGCGGTCGCAGTACTTCAACCCAGCGGCCATGGTGTTCACACAGGTGATCTGGCACACGCTTAAACGTTTCAAGGGGTCACGGGATTCACCAAAAAAAATCGGGAAAAAATGGGAGTTAAGATGATGGAAAGTATGTTTAACTTGTAAATCATCAATAACTTCTGGATTGAAGAAGCAAAGATTGGGATTTAAGTTTTCTACATATAGGTAACTTGATTTAACCAGAAAAAAAAAAATGAGGTTCAATCAACAGGGATTGGCCATCCCTGGCTGTCTGGTGCCAGAATCTCTCCACCAATCATGCTGATCTGCCTAAAGAATTTTATACTAACATGACACAGATGGAGAGATCTCCATTGGTGAGTGAGATATGGGTTAGCAACAAAAATTGACAGGACTTAAATGTTGAACGCTTCCCCGAGAAGTAGCAGGAATTCGAAATATCTTGGATTGTAGTTGAAAAGAAAGGAGTACAGTTGAATAAGTAGGTCGAGGGCGGACGAGCGGGTTCGTGTGAAAATGTGGACAGTACCCTCCAACATCCCATGGTTTCACGGAATTGTCCACACTAAAATTTGCTATTTTGGTCTATCCACCATTTTGGACAGACCCGCCCATAAGCACCAGCTATGTCACTGCACGTTGCACGAGATGAAGGACAGTACATTTCGAAATGTCATGCTTGAGATTAGCACTGTCACTGGACTCTTCCCAAGAGCTGTGGTGGAAACTAGCTTACACTAGCCATGATTACAGTAGCCAGCGAGGGGGATAAATCCACAAAAAGTGGCGAAATCTCAGGACTGCTGTCTTTTCCCCGCAGAAGCGTACCTTCTCATTGTACTTGCCAATGCGCAGTGGCATCCTAGGTTAAATCATGTTCAGGCATCCAGGGGTCCTTTCCAGTCGAGTGTGATGTCAGCCACGGCAGCCCAAATGATTCATCCGGAGTTTCCAGCCGGGAGTCCATCCAATCGAAGGAACAGCTGCCATTATTCATCGGTTTTTGTGCCCCAAACTCAGGTAATAAAGTGACCACATCCAAATAGAAATTGGCGAAACTTAGAGGTGTCCACCCAACTATGTAAGTGTTGGTTCATAGTTTATAACCCTTAGCTAGTTGGTTCGATATATATATATATATAACCCTACTTCAGCTGTGCCAGCGCCAACCCGGGCCAATTGGAGGAGCATCAACTTCATCGGTTTCAGCCAAGCGTCTTAAAGGTGATGCTGTCCACGTAGCGCTCGGGCACCCCGAAAATTCCGGCCAAACCTTCCTGCGCGGAGTTCAAGGATGGTCACAGCAAGTCATCTGCAGTTTTTGTTCTGCAGATGACTTGCACCCAATTTCAGAAACCCACTTGGTGAAATCCAAATCTTCGAGTTGTAAAGCCATACTGTGAAACCCTGTCTGGTTGGTGGTATACGAACCCCTCTGAAGCATATGAAAGTCAGTTGGGATGATTATTACCCAATAGATGGAAAAATAAGAAATGTTCCAAACCACCAACCAGATACTGTAAAACCCTGTATGATTCCATTATGTGTTTTGGTGTTTCTCAAAACTCTGCTGCACCAACCACGGGTCATGGTTTAAGGATGTTTCCACCAGCCGAGTTTCTTAGAAACATAAAATGCAATTAGTGTTTCCCAACCATCCAAGTTATCTTCATGACCACTGTATATCTGGGTAAATTATCATAGTTCACTCACCTGAATAGTTCGGCTATTTTGGGGATGATTCCCCTATACAATCACCATGATTCCAGGGTTCGGTCGTAGTGAGGTCGTTATAATTTACCCAGATCATTATCTATGAACATATGTTAACATCTATTAACATCTATTAACATCCCATTATCACAATAGATTATTCATATTAAACCATATTGAAACCAGATTTAAAATATATATATAATATCCCATTATTAAAACCTCATTATAGATAACCAGATATGCTTATAATATAGTATACCAATTACCAACCACTATTAACCATGACTAACCACTATTAATCTATATATCTATCTATCTATCTAATCTAATCTAATCTAAATCTAATCTAATCTAATCTAAATCTAATCTAATCTAATCTATCTATCTATTAATATGGCTTATGTATAACTATAATTTACCCAGGTATTTCTATATCTTGGATGGGCCTTGGGATCAACCCCTGGCTCCAGCGGATCCACCGTGATTCACCGTCCGGCCTCACGGGCAAAGCGGCCCTGGAACACCGCGTTGTGGCACAAGAAGGCAGTCTTCGTGTTCTGCCACTTTCCTAGCAGAAATCCATAGAAATCCCACATTTTCCCAGGGTTTTCATGGGATTTCAGTAGAAATCCCACATTTTCCCAGGGTTTTCATGGGATTTCAGTAGAGTAGGAGGTACAGAAAAATGATGAAGAACGGATATGCATTGGGAATTCTTGGGTATTTCTATCAGCCAAATTTTTGAGTGTATACGCCTGAGAGTTTGCTGTAGTACAATAAAATGGCAAGGCAATAAGTAGGTTTGAAAATGGTTGATCCGTCATCCCTACGTTTGCTTGTTGATTCAAAATGGATATTATCACGGGCAAAGCGGTGAGAGTTAAATCAATAACTATGGCTGCACCACCACCACCACCACCACAACAACAACAACAACAACACCAACACGGGAGATACCACTCCAGGATGTGACCTACTTCGGCAGCCATCCTACACATCTAAAGTGCTTGTCTGACCATGGTGAGCGTCAGGTCCATGACTGCACAATCGTTTGGGAAGCGAGATCTACCATCCCAAGCAGTGTATTATTCCATATGATTCCCATAGTTGGTCGGAAATCGCTTCATATCGCCCCATGTACACCTCGAACAGGAGCGGCTCCCGACATCCCAAGCGCCTGTGGTGGTCTTCTCTGCATGGATCAGCATGGGCACCAGGGCGCTGTGCCAATCGTTGCAGACCACCATGCAGTCGCTGCCATAGATGGCACCACCCAGGGGAAGTTCCTGGAAATCTTTAGGCCAACTGATGGCAACCTATGAATTTCCCCTGTGACACTTGGACAAATTCTGACTGTCCATCATGAATTGGAAGAGTTCTGGAAAGAAATATCATCCTAAATAGATTAAATGTCCTTCAGCACATCAGGTCTGAACCGGTCCTGAATCGCCTTCAAAGCCGCCTTGCAGAAATAGGCGAAACGAGCCTCGTTACGAAAGGAGGGAGGGATGACCAGGGATGCACCCTCTCAAAAAAATCACCCACCCCCGGATTGTGCAATCTCTAACCTACAAAAAATGGGCCAGGTGCAAGTGTTGGAAGAGTGATTTAGAGTAATGTCAGTCTTCTCGGGGTAACCTCTGTTAATCATAGTCTTGATTCTTGATCTGCGTATCACCAGAAAAATGGTTTGGCGGCCTAAAAGCTAGACCATTGTCAATGGGGATGTAGATATCCCCAAAACATCCCGAAACTGCCTGTTGAATGGTTCTTTTGCAGTACCGTAAAAAAATCGAGCACTTTTGTCACGAGACAACATCTTTTTAATCATGCGGGATTGTCGGTATGGATCAAAAAGCCTGAGCCCCAAAAACGAACATGACTGGTTGGTGGTATACCCACCCCTCTGAAAAATATGAGTTCGTCAGTTGGGATGATGATTATTTCCAATATATGGAAAAATAAAATTCATGTTCCAAACTACCAACCAGATGAAAATCGCTGCTATGTTCATAGGTTGATCCCCAGAAAATGCTCCAGTTTTGACTCTCCATGTCCCAAAAATGATGAACGAAAGCACTGTTTGCAGATCATCAGTGGTTATACACCCATGTAATCACCATTTGATGATTAAATCATGGATATCCAGAGATATATCCTCTTTGATGGATATGTATGAATACGAGTATGTATTACATTTATATCGCACTGAAATATCCCGACTTTAGATTCTTAAATTCATGATATATAATTCACACATATCCAACATAACTCTGGAATTCACATCACCAGTTTTCTACCAGGTAAATCGAATCTATAAATCACCATGTCAGTCATGACTGGAGACCATCCCCCCATGGGATACTCCTTGCCCCACTGCCTGGTTGTCAGCGAAATCCTTGCCCCATTCAGGACCTCCGTTGAAAAATTTCGCGGCTGCGCTTGGTGCTTCCCATCTACGCGAAGTTGGTGAACTTATATCGGGCCAATAACGGGCTGAGGTTATAAATCAACTTGTATCTGGCCTCACCTGGAAAATGGTGAAAACATACAACAATCTCGACAAATTCTTATAACATGCTATCCTTATGTGATGGAAATAATTCACCAAGCTGAAAAAATCTGCCATGGGAATCATTGGGAAGATTCCCCCAATCCTTCCTAATCCAATTCCCATTCTTCCGGAGGCGTTACAGTGAGGTTGCTTTCATGTATCTAGACCTCGGAAAAAATAAGAAACCATGGCCCTGAACTGGAGAAAGTGACGAGACCCAAGATAGACAGATGTTCATCAGCTTCTCTACCAGCCCTCCAGCCCTTTTGAAGAAGCCGAGGCACCATAGAGCTTGGACCCCGTCTGGCCATAGACACGTTCCAGGAACGTGGGATGATCCACAAAGACGTAGTCCACCTTCTGCTTGTAGGTGTGGAAGAAGTGCACAGACTCTGACCTAAGAAGACAGCAACTGCGGGTTTTTTCGGACTTGGGATGACCATCCTAGAATCGGATCTCCAATGAAGCAGTCAGACTCTCCAACCAAGCTTTGTACCCAAGATATCCGTCCCATTTTTTGCACCTTAAATCCCCCTCTTTTTTGGCACCTTAAAACCACAAGATGACAGCTGCCGAGGTGCTTGCCACCCATGTTGACATGGCCCCAATAGCCGGTGTCCCAGGCCTCCGCATACTGGTCATAGCGAGGCGACACCACCATGCATCGATGGCCCAGGGCAGCCAGGGCGATCGGCAAGCCATCCATGGCCTCGCCCAAGCCACCGGTCTTGGAGAATGGAGCCACTTCACCTGTGATGCAAAAGGCATTTCGGCATGCCTTGAAGCAAAAACCTACAACTTTTTGTGAACGGTGTAAAAAGGGATATGTTGATGGGATATAGTGGGATATTACAATGATAATTGGTATATCATGGGATTAGGGATTATATTGTTCTAGGTTGTTCTATACTAAAGCTACTCACTGGTAAGTGGACATTTTCGTGGATTCAAGTATTCAAGTGGCAAAAATTGTACAAACTATCAGTAACTATCCCATGACCCCTGACGAATAAACCACCAGCTTCGGACATGCACAAGATTATTTTACAAGATGTTCAATTGTTTTACATGGAAAGAGGGACTCTACCGCTCAACTGCGTAAATTGTGTTTTTAAATATAACCTGTGTATCATTTCTTCCTATGGATTTGATGGCCTTCCTATGTTTGTCCCCAATCTCCGAACCTGTGACAAAGACCAGCTGGTACTTCTTGGTGATGGTCGTCACGGGCTTGCCATTCACCATGGTCACTGCAGGCCTTCCCTCTGCCATGGCGCGCCCCATGGCCACGGCCGGTGGCCCAGCCTTAGGCACTTCTCCTCCCACCGCGCCGGCTGCGGTCTTCGCATAGGCTCGTGCAGGGCCCACGCTGCTGGTGGCGTAGCCCTGGGCTCCTTGGGTGGCTGGCGCTGGCTTGGCGCTCACCATGTTCAGCAACTGTCGGGGGGCGGTGCCCATGGTCTCCTGTGGCAAAGGTCGGTTGGGCATGGCTCCCATCTTGGCCTTGGCCTTGGGCTTGGCTACGGCCTCTGCCTTGGCGCCTACGCCCTTGGCCAATGCGGAACCGGTGCCGGACAAACGCTCCGCTGCGGTCATCGGCTTGCGGCCTTCCTCCACCACGGCAGCGGCAGAGGTGGGTGGGGCACTGGGGGCCTTGGCCTTGGCGACACCACCAGCAGCAATACCACCAACGGCGCCGCCAGCGCCGCCACCAGCACCGCCACCAGCACCACCAGTGGTGGCAGGGCTGGTGCCCCCTCCAAGTGCTGCAGCCTTGCTGGGGGCGCTGACCTTAGGGCCTTGGGTTTCACCAGCCTTAGCCGTTGGAGGCGACGACATTGTTGAAACGAAGGGCAGTTGATTTGGAGTGTTGGTAAGGGATCTACGACACGAGGCCGCTTGAGAGACACTGGCGCGGCCGAGTCAGAGATAGAAGTTGGGCTTCAAGTGGAGTCATGAAATCACAACACCATGTGCCAATCCCAATTTGACAACCAAGCGATGCCTCCAAATGCCAAGCCCGAAAATATTGCCATGACCCTAAAGATCCCCAAAAGCAATGAGACGATCACTCTACTTCTTGAAATTGGCAACCCCCTTGTCCCCTTGTCGTTTGGGAGTTTCTGGTTTCAACATGGTTTACCCTCTGGTAATTTAACATAGCTATTGAAAATTGCCATTTATAGTGAGTTTTCCCATTAAAAATGGTGATTTTCCATAGTTATGTTAAATTACCAGAGGGTAAGTCCATTTTCAACCAATCCAAGTCATTCCAAGTCTTTGGGATCAATCCCACGTGCTTGAGGGATCATCCCACCTAATAATTGGTTAGAACGTGTGTAATTTTACCCACTTGGACATGAGAACCATGAGACTTGTCAAAGCGGTGAATGGTTGCGAAATCCTGCACCAGTTGGTAGATGGTTTGTCCTATCATCCTCCATTTACCAACTGGTAGCCCAATAGAATCCCAAGTCAGAAATCCACAATAGAAATCCCAATAATCCTGTAAGTAGTGGAATTGTAATCCCATGATTATAGCTATTCCTGCCCCATTATTTCATACAAAGTGGGGCCCCCGTTCGATAGCTAAGTTGGTTTATAACTCCAACAACTATGGTTTATGGTACTTATAACTATAGTTACTGGGGCTTATAAACCAACTTAGCTATCTTGGGGGCCCCCACATTGTAGGAATCCCAGTAGAAATCTCAACTGATGCACTTCCCTTCGGATCCACCGCCCTCCGGGAGTACCAACAGAGGGCGAAGAAGATGGCCTGCCACGGCCGAATCGGCCAAACGTTGGAAAAAAACAGGAAGAATCGGAGCAAAGCTCGGTTTTTAGCCTACTTTTAAGGTGTTTAGGGTTGACAAAATCATCCCAAAATTGTTTTTTTGTCAAAGGTTGAGCATGGTTTATTCGTTCGTGGTTTACCCCAGTGAACCTGCAAAGTCGGTTAGATATCAGAGGCGCGGTATGTCTCGGTCTATCTCCATTCTATTGATTTGGGATGCATACAACGTTGATAGACCCCAGGCTGGTTAGGATTGAATATGTGTATAAAATGTTCACATCCATTGTTACATTTGTTTTGCTTCTATCCCCAAGTTAGTTGGCTGCTGGTAAACAAATATGGCCAGGGACAATCACACCATTCAATCGGAACATCATGTAACAATATGTAACCCACGATGTTCATGGAGGTATCCAGTGCCCACTCTTTGTTTACCAAATGCTTGGCACCAGTGGATCCGCCAAAGTTGATCCAACCACCAAAGTTGGGTGCTTGGAAAACCACCGAAGTCACCAGCCCAAAAAAACGAAGCCTTTTTTCTTGGTCAACCAAACTGATTTTGACCATGATTGCCAGATGGGTTTGTTCAAGGGTACGGCAAAATCCCATGATAGATCACCATGTTTCTCGAAGGAAATGGCTGTATGTTGGGGTTCAATCCCTGATGCTTGGACAAGATCCAGTTATATCGTATTGCCGGTCAGAAAAATCCCATTGCATCCGGCTGGTTCTCCATTGTTTCATGGTCAAATCATGTTAAATCCTTGTCTTTAAGTGTTCAATATCCAATGGGGTAAATGCCCAATGAACAAACCCCTAAAATCAGTATATCCCCATGTCTTCGATGAAATTGCAAAATGAGCTGTCTTCATCCACTATTTTTGCAAGTTAAACCAATACAGTAAACCACCCTGAACAAACAGGCGGCGAGGCCTGCCACACATCTTAAGAAAAACGCTGGAAATCCCCATATGTTCATGATGAAACCCTGGATTTTTCCTAGTCGAAGTGCCATTTTTGGGTGTTTCACCACCAGGCTTAAGCCTGGGCAAAGGTTGCCCACCTTGACAACTGGCGAGCTCTCAGGCACACCACGTTGCGTCTCACTCGCCACCACCTGCCGCTACCAAAAATGGTGGTAAATAACAATGTAACCAGGAAAGCAATCACAAACCACCCACAATTTGATGATTTATATAAAACCATGTATGGAAATTTGGGGTTGGTTTACTTTTGTTTGACTAACATTAGCCAATCATGGTGTTCAACTAAAAAGTTGGGTGATGTATGCAACCACAAGGTCCTTAAAATGGTACTGCGTGATTGATAATCATGGCCGGTTTTCCCGGACTTGCTAACAAGGAGATATTTCACAAATTGGAGGAGTTCATCCAACTAGGATCTCAGACCAAGATCGCCAACCAGCTTAGCAAGACGTCAAAACCTTGAAGTCCTTACGTCGTTCCATCCTGTGGTTTAAGACCTTTCCTTCAAATCTCCATGCATTGGGGTACTTACCCCCTAAAAATTGACTGAGACAAACCATAGTTCTATGCAGGAAATCATCGTGGTTTTTCGTTGTTTATCCTATGAAAATCCCCATTTTGCTTGGTACAACAACGATTTTGGATCGTCAAATCATGTCAAATCCACCACCGCAGGGAATTTTGTTCACCCCCATGGTAGGTCAAGATTTGCACGTTTTGTTGGATTTTGGGTTAACAAACCTTGAGTAAACCCTCATCGTTTTTGTTGATTGTCATCCCATGATATCTGCCAAAAACATCCCAAAACATCCAAACACTAGAAAAAACATACACCCAATGTTGTTGTTTAAATCACCAAGGCCATAAAAACAGGGGCTGAAGCGTGCCATTTCCCACCTTGTCAATGTCCAATTTGAAGCGTGCCACCATCGCTGGCAGTTCCGGTGCTTTGGGGATCTCCTGCGGTGTTCGGGGAGCTGTCAGGGGTATATTTGAAGATACCCAAAACAATGTGGTAGAAATGAACCAACCATGTTGTGGAGATACCATGGAATATATAAACAACAATTTTTTTTTTGGGTTTGTCTCAAAGTGCTGGATTTTGGACTTATTTGCAAACTAAAGACGGATTATGGGGTACCAAATTTTGACAAAGGGTGTGCCAATGCACCAAGTTGTTGCTGCGGGAACAACCCTTCAAAAAGTGGTGTATGTTTTGCAAAATTTGTTTGTGAGTTTCAACATGTGGATATATGCCACAATTGAAAACCAATTTTGGCCAACAAGGTTGGTCTCATTTCAGGTGTCCGGTTTGTCCAAAACACGGGCAACCCAAAATCCAAAACCATTCTTGTTTTCCCAAACAAACTGCATCTTTATGAATATACCCCATGTCAAACAAACCCTAACGACGGAAATCCACATTCCCAATATTAGATACGTAGACATGTGTATATGAATATGTAAATATACGTGTATATAGGCGGGTCGGTTTGGCCAGCAGCAAGAGGGGTGACAGCCCCTTCTTGCATTGCAGCTATACTGGTGCTTAGGGCAGTCAGTTTTTGCTGCCTTTTTTTTTCTCTTGGCCCTGGCAAGCTGCTGTGACATGTGGTTATTTGCATAGCCCTTGTCCGGCCTTTCTCGAAGAGATCCTGTCTGTCCAGGAACTAGGTGCGTGTATATATTTGAGATCCAAAACATTAGCTAAACAATTGTTTTATTGATTATTTTCTTTTATGATTTTTTTATGAATATTTATGATTTTTAGGATATGATTTGAAAAAAATGGTGAAAAATGGATATGATTTTTTATGATTTTTTTTTTAATTTTTATGATTTTTTTATATTTTTTTATGATTTTTTTATGATTTTGTTTATGATTTTTTTATGATTTTTTTTGTTTTTTCACTTGTTTTTATGTGTTTTTATGATTTTTTTATGATTCTTTGAAAATGATTTTTTTTAATGAAATTTTATGATATTTTTATGAAAATTTATGATTTTTTATGAAAAATATGATTTTTTATGATTTTTTTAATGGTTTTTTTTAAAAAAAAAATTTATGGGTTTTTATATTTTGAAGAATCTTATGATTTTCTTATGTTTTTTTTCTAATTTTTATCTTATTTTTTTAATGTGCTTTAATATGTTTTGTTTTTTTGGTGTTTTTATACGGATTTTTGTGATTTTTTAATGATTTGTTATGATTGCTTTATGATTTTTATGAATTGTATGATTTTTGTTTTTTTTGATTTTGTACGTTGTTCATGATTTGTGTTTTGTAATGTTTTTGAATGATTTTTTTCAATGTTGTTTTTTGTCTTTGTTAATGTTTTTTTTTAATTGTTCATGTGTTTATTTTTATCTTTAACGTCGCCAGGATTTGGCCAATAATGGTTCTAGGCCCAAAGGCCTGTGGTAAGAAATTTTGTTTGATGTCAAATCCATAGAAACCAAACGCCATCATGTTCCTAAAAAAACAGTTCAGAGTTTTGTTCATGGGTCCAGCTTTGTGCTGGGCAAGGTGCATCATCAGTTCAAAATTTGTGACCTATCCTAAGGCTAGTTTCTTTTCTCGGTATTCACTTCTTTAATGCCAGCTGCCCGCTAAGTCACAAAGGTCTCAAGCCTGAGGCCTAAAGCCTAGGGCCTCAAGCCTGGAACTTAAGGCCCCAGATCCGAGATTCTAGAGCCTCAAGCCTGAGCCTAAGGCCTCAGGTCCGAGATTCTAGAGCCTCAAGCCTGGAGCCTAAGGCGTCAGGTCCGAGATTCTCTAAGGCCTCAGGTCCGAGATTCTAGAGCCTCAAGCCTGGAACTTAAGGCCTCAGGTCCGAGATTCTAGAGCCTCGAGCCTGGAGCCTAAGGCCTCAGGTCCGAGATTCTAGAGCCTCGAGCCTGGAGCCTAAGGCCTCAGGGTCGGAGATTCTAGAGCCTCAAGCCTGGAGCCTAAGGCATCAGGTCCGAGATTCTCTAAGGCCTCAGGTCGGAGATTCTAAAGCCTCAAGCCTGGAACTTAAGGCCTCAGGTCCGAGATTCTAGAGCCTCGAGCCTGG